TCTGGAACAGGACCACATTCAACAAACACCAGCTCCTATGACTGTTAGGTCAGTGGGAAGCTCAAAGTCACATAGCTGGGAAGTGACAACACCAGGATTGGAATCCTGGCCTTTTCATGCCAAGTCTCGACTTTTTATACCTCATCCCCAACACTGGAAGAAAAACCTATAACAGATGACACCTATCAATGGGTAACATAGCAAAAAGACATAAGGACAGTGAACATTTTATAGTCAGAGGCAGAAATCATTTCAGGAAGATGAAAAGGCAAACGTGCATAGGTGCAGTCTGGACAAGAAACCATTCTGTCCCCTTGATATTCTTCACCATAATAATGGAATCCAGGATCTTCGACCCTAGGGAATATTATTTCTTTATAGCAACTTGACCTCATAAACTGGCAAAAAGAAGAGTTCAAAACTCTGTGGTAAAATGTTGAAGTTTCTTTATATAGAAGAGAATAACTGATTAATACACATGTGATCAATTCACACTTTGAAATGTTTTAATGTGCTGTGTGTTTTTATATCCCCAGCATATAATTCTTTCTAAGATAAACAGATGATACTCAACTAAAGGTTGGCCCTTATCAAAACTATAAAGTAGGAAAGTTTATCTTCCAAAGCACTCTACATTCCCTTCTTTCAAGTCCATTACCCTGGAAGCAAGGGTGGGGACCGTCATTCCGTGACCACCTTCAGGTGGTCAACTGTTGTGCCTAGTTTACATCAGTATCTGTTTCAATGCTCAGATACTGATATTATACATGTATATTAATTGCCCCATTTTTTCAGAGATGAGGAAATGCTCCCATAGTTTAAGTAACCTGTCTAAAGTAAAGGATGTGATCAATGATTATGCAGATTCCTCTACTTCATTGCCCATGTAGGGTTCTCCCCTGAACTGTGTTCCATCAACATTAGGTATTTCTTTTAGCTCTGCACTATGGGCTCATTCACACCAGGATATTAAAGACAAGACACTATTTGAATTGATCCTCTTCAAAGATGTCTGTATTCTAAAAGAGACAAGTAGACACAATCTTAACTCAAAACAAAGGCTCTGATAGTAGAATTTGAGACAAGTTGGCAGGACTTCAGAGTACTGAGACAACTTGACTTCTCCTAGCCAAACAGTTCCCCTATTGTTGCACAAATTTAAGATAACTGAAGCCTGAGAGGAAGCTACATAGCAAATCAGACCCAGTTGGAATCCAGGCCTTCCAGAACTTTCAGCTCAGTTCAGTTCTCTTCTTTGTTATCAGTCACAAATACTAAAACACAGAGAGAAAAGCATTCTAAGCCAAATAAGCATTATTTCAAAATTATTATCATTATTATTGCCACTAGTGGTAGTTCAAATAACTGAGTTAAGGTTTTCATTCTTGAAGACATGTAGAAACATCTCCTGCTATCAAGTTCATCTCCTCTTTGCCAAAGACAGCCCTAGATGATCTCAGGAAAGTAAGAACAGTAGAAGGTTAGCACCAGGAATGAAGAAGTTACCTTTGATAATTGAAGTGGCCATAGAAATCAAGTTCAATTTCTCTTCCCAATATCTTGTCAGTATATGAAAATAGCTATCATGTGTGACTCACTCCAGGCTTCCCTTTCTGGTTAAACCATCTTCAACCCTTTAAACAAAATTTCACTGCAGTAGTTCCTACAATCTTCATCAGCTTAACAACTTTCAACCAAACAGAGATTATTTTTTGTCCATAGATAGGTATAAAAATCTATACAAAATAAAATTTTCTGGTTATGGAAGTAATATGTTCATTGTGGAAATTTTGAAAAGTTGGGAAAACAATATTTAAGGACATAAATGACATAATACATGTCAGTTACTTAGAAAAAAAAAGCCTGGTACACAGTAAAGCTCAATATGTATTAGCTCAATGATTCATTGTGGGATAGGGAGAGGGAGCATGGGAGGAATAGACAAACTCTAGCTAGGGCAGAGGGGTTAGAGGGGAAGGGAGGGGGCACCAGGTTATAAATGATAGTAGAATGTTATGATCATTATTATCCAAAGTACAAGTATGAAGATATGAATTGATGTGAATATACTTTGTATACAAGCAGAGATATGAAAAAATGTGCTCTATATGTGTAAAAAGAATTGTAATGCATTCTGCTGTCATATATAAATAAAATGTTTTTTAAAAAACACTCAATATGTGTTAGCTGTTACAAATTGAACACAATTATTTTTCTATCACTCAGAAAGAGTTATTGTTACTTTTCTGGATGCTTTCTTTAAGTTTTCACAGCCACATAGGATTCTGTTTACTAAGAGAAATTCTGTGGGCTGGGGATGTGGCTCAAGCAGTAACACGCTCATCTGGCATGCGTGCAGCCCGGGTTCGATCCTCAGCACGACATACAAACAAAGATGTTGTGTCTGCCAAAAACTAAAAAATAAATATTAAAAAATTCTCTCTCTCTCTTTAAAAAAAATAAATTCTGTATCATCTTGTATGGAGAATGGAGGATAATAAATGAGATAAAGAAGGAAGAGGGGTCCAAACCAGCCTCATCTGGATTATCATGGGAAGAGTGAAACATTACCAGCAAAGCAAATGATAATGTCAAAAAGAGAGAAAAAAAATTCACAGGATCTATGTTTTGAGTGGGGTCTGGGGAGCAGGAGTGAGGTTAATGGGTGAGTTAGTATTAAGGTGATGGAATATGAATAGAAGTTTTGTTTGTTAACTTTTACTGAGCAATTACCATGAGCCAGGATCCCTGTGAAGCACTTCATGTATGTTAATTCATTTAACCCTTAAAGCAACCCTATTAGGTAGGTACTATAAAGAAAATCCAAAGTATGGGAAGCCGCTAATGAACTGTGGGAGTGTCTAAATCATCTCTAAGCAGGAAGTGTGTCCTTCTGAAAAAGGGAAATCAGTGCAGCAACTGAAGGAGATTGATGGGGAGGAAGGAGACATAGAAAAAGAGAGGAAGAGTAGAATAAAATTGACCAAATTACGCTATGTACATATATGCATATACCACAGTGAATCTCACCTTTATATATATCTATAAAGCACTAATTAAAAAAAAACATGAATAAGTGAAAAGACCAGTAGAGGAGAGGAAGGAAAAAAGGGGGAGGAAGGTGGGGAGGAAAAAAGGAAAGTATTGGGGACTGAAGTATAATCCATGCTTATATGATTATGTCAAAATGAACTCAAATATTATGTATAACAATAATGCACTAATAAAAACATAAAAAAATGAAGGAACTTAAAAAAAACATAATTAGCATCTATTAAAACTCACTTACTTGTAACATTGTTAGAAACATTTTGTTTGCCCTCTTTAAGTGACTTCATCTATTACAACTACATGTTCCATCCAAGTCCATTTACTCCTGAGCCAGTAGGGAAAAAAGAGTTCAACAAACAGTGGCTATGATCATAGCAGTCTTTAGAATAAAGAAAAAGTTGTCTCCAACCTGTGTAAGAATGTAATCTGTGTAATGATGACTATCAGTTATGACTATCTCCAAAAAAACCACTCATGTATTTATTAACCCTAGGTGATACAGGGTTATTAATGACATAACATGAGATATTGTGAGAATGGGGAAAGAGAAAGGTCACAACAATTCATTCTGTAGTGTACACACACACACACACACACACACACCCTTCTCCCAGCTAATCAATCAAACATGAATCTTAAAATGATGCTCAGAAGGAATTTTGTAGATGCAAGTAAAGTCCTTCCTGTGCTGACTTTAATCAAGAGATTAATTTGAGTGGGTCATTTGACTTTTATCAGATGATAAAAAGAGGGCAAGAACCTTTCCTGAACCCACACTGCAAACAGCAGATGGATTTACCTTTGCTCTCCCTTCCTGCCTACAGACAGCAAGCTTCAGCTTGTGCCCAGGATTCCAGCATGCTTCAGATCTTCCTTGTTTCCCTGCGAGTTTCAGGAAGCTCAGGCAGATTTCATATCTCCTAGCACACAACTGAACACATCAGAGAAACCAAATTATTCAATCAACTTACTGAGTAAACATGCATTTTTTATGAGAATTGATAAAATGGCATAGTGAGGATGTCACTGGACTTGAAGTATGATTGCTCATCTGTAAAAACGGAACAATAACCATGATTTAACACCTTTCTAATCACCAGGTTCTGAAAATTAAATAGTGTTACATAGTTTTTAATTTCCACAGAAATATAGCAATATTATAATACTTTCCAAAATACTGTTGAAATTGATTACAAAAATCTGCAGAAATTGATTACAAAACAATCACTGTTACTTTTCATCTTCACTTAATGTATAATGTTTCAACAACAAAAGATACCTTTCCTCCTTTAAAGAGTAAATCTTGTAATAGTGAACTACAGGTGTTTGGGGGTTATTTTTATTTTTTGCAATTTATCTTCAATGAGCAACTCTACACAGGTAGCATCATTAGGATCTGGAAAACTAATTTCTTTTTATATCATAGATCTACATTCACAGCTTACACTCCATTCTTGAGAAACCACATTAACCACCCAAGCACTTCATCATTTAAGAATGTTCACAAACATCCAATCTCTTGGGACTTAAGTCACGCACAGCAAAAACAAAGTCATAAGTTCATGTTAAGGGAGAAGGTAACCCACCTTAAAGAAATATTCTGTCATTTGTTCCCTCTTTCAACCAGGGTCTAATATAATACTCAAATTGAGGTGATTCTAGTAGAATTTGGCTAAGGATTATCATAATCTATTTTCCAACATAAATAGTCTCCACTAATTTTTCTAAGATAAATGTGATTAATTTATTAATATGTGGGTTTTATTTTCTTATACTCAAGTAATGATAAACTGAAGAAAAGGACTAGTCAGTTGTTTTCATAAGTTTAATTCTTAAAAATAAAAAGCTACTAGATTAATCAAAAGCATTTCTAAATAATATATCACTATGATTTACTAAAATAATATCTCTGATAAAGTAGTATTACATACAATACTTGAAGGACAATACTTTTTTAAAAATTAATTTTTTTAATTTTTAAAGTGAAATTGTACATACATACTTGTAGCATGACATCATGTTTATAAGTAAGATACTTTAACGCTTTCAAGGAAATTGGAATTAAATTGAAGACATGACTTTATTCTCTTCTTTGATCATAACTGAAAGAGTATTTTAGATAAAAGTTAAACAAGACCAAGATGTTACGCAGATTGTTGCTTCTTTTCCAAACATTTCTCAATATCATCAAGCACTTGAACGGCTGCCTTTGGAATTCGAGTTCCAGGACCAAATACATTGGAAACACCAACGTCATACAGAAATTCATAATCCTGTTGAAAGAATTTAATTAATAAAGAACGATTATTTACAATATGAAGGAAATAAAACAAAAAAATGACATGTTCCCTTTTTCTCTGTCCCCAGTGCCAAAAACTTTCTCAACTACTGCTGACATGTTGGGCTAAATAATTCTTTCTTGACTGGAGCTACTGCTAACAGCCAATAGCAACATCATCCAAACTCAACTCATGAAAAAAAAAACAAAACACACTCTGCCTATGTACTGTTTGTGATCAGAAGTTGTATGGCTCCAACAAAGAACTTCTAAGCTTAAAACCATAATTTTCTCTCATCTAAATATTTATTATTTGGGTTAAATTTGTATATAGTTTTGAGTACCAAGACTGTTTATTTACTCCTAGGTATTTTGCAGCTAGTGAATGGTGGTAATTTGAACATGGTCTCAGGATGAAATCAGATTTTCCATAAATAAAGCTTTTCTATTTTGTTGCTTCAACTGTTTTTTAGTTTAATGACAGTCAAAGTCTGGGTGTAAAGATTCCCAGGGCACATATGCTGCCCCAGATTTAAGGCTGTTTTAATATTATAACATTTATAACCATGATGTCAAGTTATGCTTTAAGGCACTGATCCTTATTTTATATGCAGGATGGTCTAGCTTGAGCTTATTGTTGTAGCCCTCCTTTTTAACAGCACCCATTTCTACTCTTAAGTGATCAAAATTAGATAGTGAATTATGTGGTCCCCCAACTATTTTTCTGTCTTTATCGAATTAATATGAAATTCTTTTTTTTTTTTTGGGGGGGGGGGGTGGGTACTGGAGATTGAACTCAGGGGCATTCAACCACTGAGCCACATCCCCAGCCCTATTTTGTATTTTATTTAGAGACAGGGTCTCAATGAGTTGCTTAGTACCTCACTGTTACTGAGGCTGGCTTTGAACTCGCAATCCTCCTTTCTCAGCCTCCTAGCTGCTGGGATTACAATGGGCGTGAGCCACCATGCCTGGAATAATATTCTTGTAATATTATGATTTTCCAATGGCTTTTAACACATTCTGTTCAACCTGTGTCCTTCAAGTCTGTGAATTTCTGAGATCAGAGGTCATGTCCAATTATCTTTGTATCTCTAGCACTTGAGCAGGTGGTATAGTTTTAAGAACTCATAAGAAAAAAGAATGAAACCTGTTTAATAACAATCATCTCCAAATTGGGGACAGTCAAAAAATGGGTTATCTCCCTCTCTAGTTCATAACATTACTTCATGCCATTTGTCCTGACACCTGAATACTAGATTTGGAATGAAGTATTGAACTTGGAGAGACCCATGAAATGTTGCAACTGTAAGAGTTTCTAACTTACCAAAATCTTACATAAACCTTGTGAAATGTACCTTAATGAAGGAGCCAAATGGTAGCAACAAGCGAATTTAGATAAAGGGTATAGAGATGTTCTTTGTACCATTTTTATTTTTGCACCTTATCTGTTAGCTTTAAATTCTTTCTAAACAAATTTTTTTGCTTTGAAATACCCTCCACTTAGCTGGGACATGGGTTGTAAGTGAGCATGTTAGAATGCAAGTGAGCATCATGTGTTTGCTAAATTTGCCTAAAATACTTGTAGGCCACTACTCCCAAGATAGTTAGAAGATCTTGATTGTAGTAAACTACTAACAAGGAGAGGTCATATTTATTTAACTGCAAAAACTGGACACTCCACATTGACAGGGGATAACTGTTTGATCACCATAAATTAATAACCTTCTAATTTTAAAACTAAGTGATTTTAAACTTAATAATGGTACCATTTTATATATTCAATATGTTATATTTTGATAAGTGTTCGCCAAAGACCCATGTATTAAATCCAGTCCCTGGTACTGGTGGGAGACAGAGAAGCCTTTTAGGAGGAGGGGGCCTAGTGGAAGGTATTAGGTGGTGGTGGGGAGTGGGGGAATGTTTCTCTCCAAGATGTTTCTTCCTCTTTCTTTCATTTTACTGCCATGAGGGGAATGATTTCACTGCTCCATGTTCTCCCCAGCATGATGTTCAGCCTTGCCACAGACCTAAAACCAATAAAGCTAAGAGACTATGGACTGAAGCCTCCAAAATTTTGAGTCAAAATAAATCTTTTACTTTGCAAGTTGATTATCTCAGCTCTTTGTCACCATAATGGAAAAGTGACTAATATACTGTAAATATCTTATCTAAGAGCTTAATTATTATAGACTCCATAAATAAAAGCAAGATAAATAGAAATATAGAAATTGACCACGCAATATTCTTCTTTTATGTACGTGTACAAATATGCAACATATCCCACTAAATGTATAATTATAATGCATAAGTAAAAATAAAAAAGAAAATTTAATTATTGTCTTCTATGTAAAAAACAATAGATGGAATTGTTCCATAAGTAGATAGCAATAAAGAATAAAAGCCCTTAGCTGGGCATGGTAGCACATGCCTATAATCCCAGCACTTTCACAGGCTAAGGAGGGAGGATCATTTGAGCCTACAAGTTTGAGACCAGTCTGGGCAACACAGTGAGAACTTGATTCAATAAAATAAGAAAAAGGAAAAAGAAAAAAAAATGAATAATAGCACTTTATTTTCCCAAAAAGTATATTAGATTTATGAAAATAACAGGCAGGCGTGTTAATAGTTTTGTACTGACTATAACACCTTAAGAAATTTATTGTTAAAAATAAAATAAATAATATGTTGTTTCCTCCCTAGTCCCACATTATCACATACTCCACAACCTCATATATATATATGTACTTCTCATTTCATAAGTAGTATATGAATTCACTATTCTAAATTCTAAGTTGTAATGGAGGAAGAAAAATTGAAGAGCAGAAAACAAAGCCACATTCCACTGATAAAATTCTGCTTATAGTGGTGGGGCCTTTGTAGCATCTATAAATCATTTATTTAGAATAGCCTCATACAATGTTTTTCTAACTTAATATTTTTTCCATTCTCAGTAACAAAGGAAAACCTGGCATAATCAGAAATTTGATTGAAAATAGAAGTTTTTTCTATCTTTTAAAAAAAAAAAAAACATTTATTTTTTAGGTGTAGGTGGACAAAACATCTTAACTAATTATTTTAACCAATCAGAAATGTAATATGTGAAAGATGTCCTCCTACCCCATTAAAAATTAATTGATATACCTGATCATTACTTAACATCCATTTCTTCTTCCCTAAGGGGTCCCATTATTTTTTTTTTCCAAGTATCTAGTTCCTTCGCTATTCAGCCTATAATTTCCAGGACAAGCTGATTCCATATTTCTGTAGTAGGATCTTTTTGGCTCCAAGAAAACAGTACTTCAATCAAATCAGCTTAAATAATAAAAGAGATTTACAAGACAACATATTGAGATAGCTCTGAGGGAAGGCAACAATTAGGGTAGGAATATGGAGGAAATGGACAAAGTAGCTTTTCCACAATAGAAGCAAGTTAGCTACAGAACTCGCTCCATTAGGAAGAAATCCAAACTATGTCTCTGACTAGGGTTTGATATGTTCACCATGTATTTACCCTTCTTCTCCATTCCAGTGGTGATATTTGATTACTTTCATCAGCTCTTTCTCTATCACTGTTTATCAAATATGAAGCAGATATATGTCTATCCTAAATTATTGGTTTGCAAGGACATAGTTCTCTCACAGAATCTTTGTAAACTGTTGAATCACACACAAGGAGTTAAAAATATAGCTCAAAGAGAAAATAACATTACTCACTTTTTGGTCTTTGTAGAATTTACTTAGTGAAATTACCAGTAAATAATTTGGCTCTAAATCTACAAGAAATTTATCTTTAAAGCTACAAATAAGCTATCATTACTGAGGACTCTGATCATAGTACTAGAAAAATACACCAAAGATACCTGTGGTGGAATCACCCCTCCACACATGACAAGGATATCTGGCCGTCCAAGAGCATTAAGTTCTTTGATGAGTTCAGGAACTAGGGTTTTGTGACCAGCAGCCAGTGTGCTCACACCCACAGCATGTACATCTGCATCTACAGCCTGCTGGGCCACTTCACGGGGAGTCTAAACAATCAGAAAGTAAAGAGACAAGTCATCATTTATTCCTAGGCAATGACTAGAAAAAAAAAACCTGTTGTAAAGGTGTTATGCTACTTAAGTCAATAAGTCAACATTCCAAGATTTCTATCATTAAAAATAGTAAAATGACTATCGCTTCATATTTCATCATTCTCAAGTTACAAATACTGCTAAAGCTATTTAAGCAATAAACATCAATTCTGTATTTCCTTCTAGCATTAGAATTGATTAATTTTATCAAGTTATGCCAAAATACTGTTGCCCCCCAAAATCTTCAAGATAAAAAAGCTATAGCTCTCATTATAACTTTCATAACTGATCATTACTTAACATCCATTTCTTCTTCCCTAAGGGGTCCCATTATTTATTTATATATATATATGTACATCTTTTTTTAATCTTTATTTTGTTTATTTTTATGTGATGCTGAGGATCAAACTCGGTGCCTCACATATGCTAGGCGACTGTTCTACCACTGAGCCCCAGCCCCAGCCCCTCATTATAACTTTTTAAAAGTATATAGGTGGTCTTAATTACCAATATTTATTGGGTTGCTATGCAACATAAGACAATATCTTGTGGCATCTATAAAGAAGTTAAAAACCAAACCAAAATGCTTTGTAAAAACAGGAACTTTGACCATTGAATGGGAAACAGTAACATTAGCAAGAGAAAAGACAGGAAACTCCAGACTTTTTTCTCCCATTGAGACACCAAATTAACAGTACTATATTGAATAATATAACACTTTTAGAAATTAAAGAAAAGGCTACAACACCTGGGTAAGTGCATAATGAAGAGAAGGGATGACATCAACAAGGGTTTGTTTTTTGTGTCAATTAACTGTATTTAACCATTTTGGCATATGGGATTACAAAGATGGTTTTAAGTATTCAATTATGAATTGAGTTGCCCAAGCTCAGATCTTTCTCAGTACTAATCAGTTGATGACACTGCTTTGTTAATTCACATGTATTTAAATCATTTCATGTAAAAGGTAACTACAACTCTCACATTGGAAATGTACACATTTGGAAATTCACAAATTACTGTACAATTATGGGACAAAAATATTCATCAGTGAATTTTCTGAGTTTGGCAAGATTTTTAGCCTCATAATTTTAGTGTAAAAACAAAAGATTCTAAACTCTCAGGTAATAGAGACACATGAGAGGACATTCCTAGGTAAATCACACAGCATGTAGGTAAAAAACTTGAGTCTGAGAAATATTAACAAGCAAAATTAAAACTTCTTTATTTTTCTTTTTGGTACTAGGGATTAAACCCCAGGGATGCTCTACCACTGAACTACACCACCAACCCCCTTTATTATTATTATTATTATTATTATTATTATTATTATTATTATTATTATTTTGAAACAGGGTCTCGCTATGTTACCCAACCTGGTCTCAAACTTGCAATCCTCCTGCCTCACCCTTCTGAATCACTGGGATTACAGGCATGCCTAGAGTGAAATTATAATTCTTAAAAGAAAATGTACACATTCTTGCTATTCATTTCTTATAGGTATGAAATTTAATTAAGCATGATTACCATTGATATCATCCATATTACCAAAATACATTAGGTTAAAGTTCTATTTAAATAAATACAGTTCCATGCTTTCTGCTTATGTATATTAAACTGCATTTACATTTCCAGAAATTTAGATTTTTAATTCAAATAAAATATTGATTAAATCAGTCATCAGTGAACTATAGGTGACATATATGTTATATATGTTATGTTACCAAAATTTGTGATGTTAAAAGGCAAATTATGTTTTTATATATTAGAATAAAGAAAGAGTAAAAATGAAGTTTCTTCAAAATTTTCCTTTATATGTCAATAGCTGGCAACACCTGTTTTACAAATATTTTAATCTTATGGAAAAATATTTCCCCAAATGTAACTGCTAACTATTGAAAGTCTATTGTACTTGCTCAGTATTTAAAATAAATAAAAACCAAAGCAAAAGAGTAGGAAAATGTAAAGTTTAATCAAATAAAGCAAATATGTTTTAATTGAAAAAATCAGAATGGAAAAGAATTCAACTTTAAGAACAAACAAAAACAACTTATTTGAGGTCCTTAACAAAAATCTGCATTGAATATATAAGATTAAACACATTTACATATTTATATAACAATACACTATAAGGATATATCTCTAGAAGTTTGGGCTAGTTCTTTACAGTTACAATTTCCTCTAGATTCTTGAGAGTGAAATTTAAGAATTCAAACAGAGAAAACTCTTCTTATGGGAGCTCATTCAAAGGCTGGGCCTCCTCAGGAAGGTTTACTTCTTTTAAATATTTATTTTTTAGTTGTAGTTGGACACCATACCTTTATTTTGTTTATTTGTTTTTATGTGGTGCTGAGGATCCATCCCAGGGCCTCACACGTGCTAGGTGAGCACTCTACCGCTGAGCCACAACCCCAGCCCAGGTTTACTTCTTTACTGAAGAAAATGTAAGGACTATTCTTCAGTCCTCAACTTAGATTACCTCACTGCAGTATGTAATAATGCTATATCCTTCCTCCTGAAACTGTTCTTTCTTAGTTTTTATTCCACTACTCATTCCATTTCCTTTCATTCCTTTGCTGACTTCTCCTCTACTTCCACTTAATGTCCTGGTTCTCCTTTCATATTGCTATACATACTCCTCATGAGACATTTCATCCATCACCATGGTTTTAAGCAGCATTTATACACTGATAAAAGTCTCAAAACCTTTGTTTCTAACAGGGGTCCCTCTATACTCTAGACATGTATATCTAACTTATATGGTCACTTTTATCTGAATAGTCCATAAATACTATAAACACAACATGTCCAAAATCAAATTTAGCCTCTATATTAGTTTCCTAAGGCTGCAGTAGGAAATTCACACAAATAGCATGAGTTAAAAACAATAGAAATCTCTCATAGTTCTGTAGACTAGGCCAAAATCAAGGTGTCAGCAAGACCGTGTTCCCTACAAAAGGTTACAGAGAAGAATCCTTCCTTGCTTCTTCCTAACTTCTGTGGGCTGCCAGCAATCCTTAGATTTCTTGTTTTGTAGCTGCAGCATTCTAGTCTCTGTTTCTAATGTCTGTTTAAATCCCTAACAACTGTGATTTGGCAAAATCGGACTATAGATAAATGGTAATTTATCATCTGATTTAGCAAAGAAGTCACATCATTGATCAACAAGAATAGTTCTAACATGAATTGACTAATTTTTTTTTAACATTAGAGAGTAACAAGTAAAACACAGACATGTATCAGAACTTCCCTTGTTTAAAAGTTATGTTAAATCATACTTTTTGAATACTAGAAGAATATTTCTCAAATTTGGGGGCTTTTCATAATAATAGCAAAAAATGATAAAACTTTAAATTAATTTGCATTTATTTACATTCCCTTCATCACGTTTATATAGCTAGATCATGAAGAAGACAATGAATTAATTCCTAATTTTTAATGTTTGCTGATTTCCATGATGTAAACATTCCAACCATAACCAGTTTTAGTCTATCAGCATGATGTTGCTGAATGCACAGCTCAGAAAAAATGCTCATTAGCTCACAATTATACAATATCTCCAATATGTGGACATGAGAGATTGAAATAGCCTCAAGAGCACATATAATAATAAAATATAGTAAGATAAATAGGAGGCAATATGTTTTGAGTACCTATCACCTTTACTTTTTTTATTTATTATTTTAGTTTTTGATACCTGGGATTGAGCCCAGGGGCACTTAACTACTGAGCTACACAACCAAACCTTTATTATATACTATTATTTAAAGACAGGGTTTCACAAAGTTGCTTAGGGCCTCACTAAGTTGCTTAGGCTGGCTTCAAACTCACAGTCCTCCTGCCTCAGCCTCTCGAGCCTATGGGATTATAGGCATGCGCCACCATGCCCCACTCACCTTTACTTTTAATATCATTTATTCAGCAATGTTAATGGCAATGTGAAACAACTGGTTTTCAAAATACCTACAAATTTAACTCCTGAATGCTTCACTAGTCAATGCTGGTTCTCTTAATACTGCCTATATATCTAAAAATACCCCATTATTACATTTTCTGCAAAATCTTTTAACTGTGACTTGATTTCTACTGTGATCCTGACATCACTTTAGTTAAGATTTCCATTGCTTCTCACTCATATTATTGGACATCTTAACTGGACTCCTTGTATCTTGCTGCAGCTCCTCTCATTCAACTTAAGAAAGTGATTTTACTAGAAAGTGAGCTTTCTAAAATACAAATTTGATTGTGCTCCTTACCCAAACATCTTTGAGATGAACCTTCTTACATTGCATAAAAGGATATTAATAATTTTCACCCCATCCCCAGAACTGCATTCTGATTTTACCTTTGCAGTTAGCTGAAGGTTTCATGCCTTCTTATTGCTCCCTCTCTCAGCTAAAGCTGACCCTCCTTTGTAGCATTGCCTTCCCTGCCTTGTTCTCTCAGCTTCTGAAAGGCCAGTGAGAGAGTAAGAAAGAAGAAAACCTTCTTACAGATTGAGCATACTCTTATGTTTTATGTCCTTTCAAAACACTTTCCACCATCCCTTGTGGGCTATCTTTCCAACAACATATTAAGTCACCTCTCAAAGAGTACAATGAAATCTTTGAAAGTTATTTACAGTTTCCAAAGTCTAATAAAAATTGTAATTCTGAACTGAAATTTAAGTATACAAAGTTAGAATTAATATGAATTTCATTTTAATTTTTCATAATTAGATTAAAGCATTCAATAATTAGAGGACTGGTTGAACAAGTTTTTTTATAACTTTAAAAACATCACATTGATCTATCATTTTCTATTTTTTAAATGAGACTTATAGCATACTATTTGAAACTGTCCCCACAATTTTTCATACCTGAAAAAGAGGGCCTATGTCCACATCAAAACCAAGATCAGCAAATCCTGTAGCAATAACTTTTGCTCCTCTGTCATGACCATCTTGTCCCATTTTTGCTACAAGAAGACGAGGTCTGCGACCTTCCCGTTCCATGAATTTATGAACTCTAACGAACATTTTAGAAGACAACAACAGTTAAGTATCAATTGACCAAAGGTGGGATATAGAAACTATAATTTATTCACAGTAAATGTTCATGAACCCTTGATCTCTTCACTTGTGTTTTCTTAATATCTTTATTTTACATTGAGATGGGTATTAAAGCCTGAAATGTTTACTATTTTCCTCTTAGAGGTGAAAGACAGCCTAGCCTGTAAGCCCATTACTCAGAGAATATCCAGTGAAGCCAGATGAAAAATGACAACTTTCGAATCTCTTCATCTGGTACCCTTCAGATTCCTTTACACAATAAGTGACCCACTAGTTTTAAATTATCTCTATCTTATCTCCCATTCACAACTATGAACCAAGCTGACTGCAATATAATTTTTTATAATGTTTCATCAAAATGACTGCTTTGTTAATATGACAAATTTAAGCAGAACATAAAAAATACTGCATTTATTCTGTTAATAGAAAAGAACTTTCCTTTTGATGACTTCCATATTGGTTGTTTTAATATCTTTGTAGTATATAAAAATTAATAGAAAGTTCCTAATAGGAAGCTTGTTACAAAGGTTCAGGACACCAATCCCTAAAAAATCCAGTTTTTACACTTGAGAAACATGATCACATTATTCCATATTTTCACTTCATGCTGTGACAGTGTCATTTACTGTCAGTTCAATGAAGACTGATTTTAATTTATGCATAGATATTAACCAGATGTTTATTTTTAAATGGAAAAAAATCAAGATTTTATAATTGTATTCTAGCAATTGAACAAATAAACTTAAGAAAACATGCAAGATTACTAAAGTAAACAGATTGAAAGCAAAATACCTGGAGAATATGAAGCAACATTAGTATTAATGATACAAACATCTGTTTGAAATGAGAACTCTTAAAGAAACTACAGTGAAAATTTAAGATATGATTAATTTTACTAAAACTAATATTAACAGTTTCAAAGTTCTTTTAATCTTTATTGATACTGAATATGTTATAAAATTACATATAATTATTCAAAATCATGCTCAGCTTAATGACCAGGACATATTCTAAGAAATGTATAGTTATGTGATTTTGTCACTGTGTGAACATCATAGAGCCTACTTAAAAAACTTAGATGGTGTAGCCTACTGCACACTTCGGCTCTATGGTAAATATACATACTTATGTATATTTACATACATAATGGAGAAAACATGATCTTAAATAAAGCACAAGAGAAAATGACATGATCAAGAGACTTTATAAATATAAGATATATGAGGCTTCTGCCAACATAACATAGCATATTCTTTTATAATAAACATATTTTATAAGTAGGAATACATTCTAAAATAACAATAAAAGCACAATAAACTAGTAACAGAGTTATTATCATCATTATTATGTATTGCTTATAACTATATGTTCTATACTTGTATTCAACTGTCAGCATATAGATTTATACCAGCATCACCACAAACATGAGTAATATGTTGTGCCTCATGTTACTATAGCTACGGCTACAACAAGATAAGGAGACAGAAATTTTTTAGCATCATTATGACCTTATGAAACTACCACTGCATATGTGGCCCACTGGCATTTTGCACTTTGGCACATGACTGTATAGTATATTTATAATTATATATTATGTATAATAAATTATATATCATATATAATTAATGAACTTTATATGGATTATATAATTATATCTTATATAATACATAAATATATATTTAATATTAATTAGTTTTATTAGAATTACAGTCTAATTACAGTCTAGTAGTAAAGTCAATTCAAACATTTTCCAAGTTGTATATGAAAAAACTATGCTAAGGTCCCAGTAAATTCAAGGGAATTGGGTTAACAGAAAAGATGAACTTCTATCTTAAAAAAATCTCACATTTTACCTATTGATAGCAGAAGTTATCTCTTTACTTTCTCCAAATTCTTGGCGATATGCTCCACTCACCATACGATCATTAGCTTTATGTTCACCAAATACCTTTTTCATAGCATCTGTGATTTCTCCAACTGTACATCTAAAATATTAAATGGAGGTTCCAGTAACATCATTACTTTGAAATAAATAGTTTACCTTAATACTATAATTAGACATATTCTATTTATCTAAGTAAAAATATGCTATCAAAAATTTAAACAAGAATGTTTTAAAGTATAATCAAAGCAGCTTTCCTGAGAATACATAGAAAAAGTGATTCTGAATGTCTATATGCATTGTAATCTCTTTTCAACATGTAACAAAAATTCACCTGAATGACTAAAAACTACAGACAAGTATCTGAAGATTACTGAATATATTACTACTTAAGAATACAAATGAACAAAAAGTAAGACTCCCCTCTTATTTGTTGATAAGTATATCTTTTTAAATATTTATTTTTTTAGTTATAATACCTTTATTTTCTTTTTATGTGCTGCTGAGGATCGAACCCAGTACCTCATGCATGCTCAGTGAGCGCTCTACCTCTGAGCCACAACCCCAGTCCTGATAAGTATATCTTTTAACATTTTTCAACAAAGAGAAGGTTGCTGGAGAACTTAGTAAGACCAGTTATACTATAGAAGAAACCAGAAAAAGTAGGCTAAGATGTTAACCTAAAATAAAGAGACCGGGAAATTTTAAAATGCACCTTACTGACTGCAGTGATGCATGCCTGCAATCCTAGAACTGAGGAGGCTGAGGCAGGAGGATTGCAAGTTTAAGTTCAGCCTCAGCAATTTATTGAGACCCTCAGCAACTTAGTGAGAATGAGGAAGTAGCTTAGTGCAAAGTACCCCTGGGTTAAATACCCAGTACCAAACAACAACAAAAATCAACTACTCTGTTTTTAAAACAATCCCTTTAGCAAGAAGAGAAAATGATTGGAATAGGGATTCAGGGAAAATGATTGGGACAGGGAAGATGGTTCTTCTGTTTCCTTCAGGATTAAGAATAATTCAAAATATATAGCATGACAATTGGTTTATTCAATTCTCAAAAAAATGTTACCCATATACCACCAAGGCCTGTCTAATGGGTTAAATATCAAGTTGGTTCACCTTGACAATATACTTGTAAGCATAGCAAATTTCAATCTACAAAGCTGTGAAATAGATTCTTTATAATAGCTTCAAATGTCCTGAGCCACAATGTAATATACAAGCATTAATATAACCAATTCACAGTATACTAATGTGGGACACAGTAACACTTGCCTACAATCACAGCAACTCAGGAGGCTGAAGCAGGAGAATCACAAGTTCAAAGCTAGCCTGGGCAATTTAGCAAGAGTGTCTCAAAATACAAAATAAAAAGGGCTGGTGGTGTAGCTCAGAGGTATAGTGCCCCTGGGTTCAATCACCAGTATCACTACCCCAAAGTATATTAATGTTTCAAATGTACAGATACTTAAGGAAAAATAATAATTAAAGTTGTTATGTTTTCCATTATTTTCCTTTGAGCTTTCAGGTTTACAGGAAGAATATTTCACTTAAGTACATTCTGAAGAAGTAAAGTGATCAACTTTTAGTATTTCAAAAACTTGTAGTATATATCCTCACCTTGCACGAGCTGCATCCACTGCAAGAGCCAAAATATTTCCATCTCCACTGGCTGCACACTGGGTTAGTGCAGCAAGACACCGTTCAGCCAAAGCTTGATCCCTGCTGGATTTGATCTTATAAAAAAGGTAAAAAAAAAAAAAAAAGAGGAAAATTTACATCAACATGTAATAAAACAGATATTAGGGGCTGGGGTTGTAGCTCAAGTGGTAGCGCGCTCATCTGGCATGCGCAAGGCACTGGGTTCGATCCTCAGCACCACATAAAAATAAAATAAAGATACTGTGTCCACCTAAAACTAAAAAATTAAAATTAAAAAAAAAACAGATATTAGGAGATTAGACCCTGACATATACAATATGAAATTTTCTGTAATCCTAACCTCAAAAATGAGAGAAGAAATAAAGAGAATAATATATAACCTAAGAAGTACATTCATTCATACAATTCATTCACTCAGGATCTCCTAAAATAGTACTAATTCAATACAATACTAACAAATCAGAAACAAACAGGGAAATACTACTGCTGATATAGCTACTTAGACTTTCCTAAAGTAGCAAGACATTGAAAACAAGTGCATCTTTTATAGAATTATTTCAACAGAATATTAAAGATTCATAGTAAGAAGGAAAGAAATAGATCAGAACTTAGAAAATATTTTAGTTAAATTTTAAGTTTCCTTTAGCTAATTAACAATATATTGGTAATAATACCTATACATATATTGCTGTTCTTTGTGTTTAAAATAATCCCAAGAGGTGACAGAAAGAGAGAGAAAAACAAACAATGTAAATTATGGTTAAAAACATTTCCAGTAGATCCTAGCTCTACTCTTCTCTGCCAACAATTTGCCAAAATGGTTACTCAAATTCAATGTTTTATAAGCTGTACCATCTGAAAATAAGCCTAAAATATGATACTGTTCAAAATGCTGCCAAAAAATCATATAGAATCTATAATAAGAGGTTGGATGAAAAATTTACATTAGGGTATAGAAAAATTCCACTCCAAACTCTATGGAAATGCTCATTTTTCTATATATATTTTCATTTTATGTAATCTAATTTGCAAGCTTTTTCTATTATAAGGGAGGCAATATAGTAGTATGGTGTTTCTTGAATGGTGGTTTTAATCCATTGGATGATGATATAGAATTAGTGAACTATAATTAGAAAAGAAATAGAATAGAAAATATCTAAGTGGATGGCTCATAGTTTGAAAAAGTACTGTTTTGTAAAACTTTTATTTCAGTTATGAGCACATTCACATGAGTGTATGTAGACAGGCATGTAGGTGAAATGTACTTTTAACTGTGAGTCACATTCCAAAAAGTTGGGATGACACTAGCATGGAGTTGAAAGCACAGGCATAGGAACAACATTTGGGTTCAAGTTCCAGCTCTGACATTTACTAGCTGATAGTATAAAAGAAAATTATTAACATCTCTTTATATCAATCTTCTGTCAAATTGGATTTATGAAAAAAAAAACAGTTCTGACAAGGATGAAATGAGAAAATGCATACCTAAAGCAATTCCTAGTATAGCACTGGCACTCAATAAATCTCAATTTTATGAAAGAAATTTAAGAATTAAGAATTTCATTAAGAATTAAGAATTTCATGGTTTTAGGAAACAAGAGCTTCTGCATTTACAGCCAGTATAACATATATATGAATTAACATCTTATCATTGGATCCCTGTAAAGTAATAAGTATAGTAAATACCTACAAAGCAAAATAATATAGAAAAACAACAGTCTAAGAAAAGAACTTAGCACAGTGTGTGGTACATATAAGGTGCTCAAAAAATGTTAACAATTATTGCACTATTGTCCTTACTGAATTTCTCTTTCTTTCCAAAAATAAGGCTTATCATTGTTTATGATAAATGGAATCCCTCAAGCTTGAGGGTATAGAGTTAATAAGAACCTAAAGTACTGGAGAAGGAAAAAAGTTTTCTCTTAACAAAATAAATACTAAGACTTTGGAGATCACTGAAAATAAAATGGTACATGCTAAATAGGGTCTTTCTTAAAAATGATAAAATTATAAGAGTGAAAAATCATTGTTATTCCTGATTAGATTGAAAGTGTATGTGTAAACGATATCATTAAACACCTACCACTAACAATGAAAAAAATTTGACACCGACAATCATGCATTCAATATAACTGGGCAGTTTTAAATAACCAGAAGAAAAGGGGACAAAGAAAAATCATTGTGGGATTTTGTTTTGTGACTTAGAAATAGCAAGTAATTACAAATGCCAGAGATTAGGAGCTCCAGGTAGCTTGTTACAAGAGAAATACACAGGTTACAGCAGTAAAAATTAATGTTTTATCTATTTTGGTATTTTACATAATTTTACTTATCTCAATGAGGAACTGAAAATAAAAAGGATACATAATCAAAATAAATATATAATACTCAAAATTAAGTTCATTATAAACTGTAGCATATCTATCGTTGGATTTTAATAATCAGAAAGCAAATCATTCTTTCATAGTAGTATCATAGTAGAAAGAAATTACAATGAAAAGCCCTAGATTCAAAAATGGACTCTGAACTTTCTTTTCTTTTTTTTTTACTTTTGAGTGATTTACATAATTATATAAGCCTCAGTTCTAATCAGTAAATTATGTAAGGTACAATTATTTTAATACTAAAATATAAGTTTCACAGGGGCAAATATCATAGTTTAAAAATACTTGAGTTTCTGGTGTCAACAGACTTCAATTGAGTCTTGGCTGTTCATTTATCCCAATCAAGTTTCTTATCTTTAGTTTCTCTGTTGTTAAAAAGATAGGAGTAATACCCATCTCATGCAATTGTTGTGAAGATTAAAACAGGACAATGTAAGGAATTATCCAGCATCCAGAAAACAGAAAATACTTATAAAATAATAGCCATTCATACCTTTTTAAGTTTTTCAATCTGCGTCTTACGCACTGAAGTATTATCAATTGCCAGAACTTCTACAGATTCTTCTTTTTCCAACTGGTACTTATTTACTCCAACAATTACTTCAGAACCTATAAATTTCCAAAAGGAAAATAATATAGAGATTCTATTCACAAATAATTGCCTAACAATGATGCTTTAATTATCATGTATTTTCCATAACAATAAAAGTAATATTCCTAACTTTTAATGAAACTTCAGTATAGAACAGCAAATCTCAAATTTGGGGTGAAGGTGCAAGGGGAAAGTACAGTTGCATATGAGAATTTCTATGAAGGAGGACTTTTATTTTCTCCCAAACTACATGCTTTTTCAGTGTTCCTGATAAGCCTTCTTACAACATTACAAAACATAAGTAATCAGAGCAGTTACCATGCAAGATTTAGAAGCTAGAGAATCAACACCCAACAGCTTTTCTAAATTTTCTTGGATTTTCTTACAGTAAATCACTTTCAAACATAAAATACAGCTGGGCATGGTGGCACACACCTGTAATCCCAGCAGCTCAGAAGGATGAGTCAGCAGGAGGATCATGAGTTCAAAGACAGCTTCAGCAAAATGAGAGGCGCTAAGCAACTCAGTGAGACTCTGTCTCAATAAAATGTAAAATAGGGCTGGGGATGTGGCTCAGTGGTCAAGTGCCCTTGAGTTCAATCCCCAGTACCAAAACAGACAAACAAAATAAATAAATAAATAAAATACAAACACTTTTTACTATCTATAAGTGATTAATCAGAATTAAAAAGGCACCTCCTTACATGATAAAAAATATATTTTGCCTCAAATTAACAGATTATTATTCTTATCTAAACACATCTTAACATTCCTACCCTAGCTTATATTCTTTATTTCCTTCATAGCAATTAACACAATCTGTAATTACTGTTTTTACTTATTCATTTTCTCTTTCCCCAGAATGTAAGTTCTCTGGCACAGAGTTTAGATCTGGCCTGATCATAGTTGTATGCCCAGACACAGCAAATGCTTCAAACTTAACATGGTAAAAAGGATTCATAGATTGAATGAATGAATGAATATGCCAATATAGAACACAATAATCACTGATAGTGTAATCTTCAAAATGTTACACTCATCTATGTATATATATACATGGGTATACATTCATGGATACATATATATGCTTGCCTACATACATCTATGCAGGCACAAATACAAAAATATAAACATATATGGATATATAGAGAGATTTTTCTCAAAAATTATTTTTGTTTTATTAACTATATGTTATCATCAAACAAAAATTGGTATTTCTTGATACTGGATTTCATACACATACTCTTCCATTGTTTCTTACCAGAATCTATTCTAGCTTGTCTTCGGGCAGCACATTCTTCAATTCGAAGTTTAGGTAATCCCTCAGCTACAGCTTTGGCCATTCCACCCATTTCTTCAATTTCATTAATGAGCTAACAATAAGAAAAACAGAGTAATAAAACTAGAACACAATAAGAAAAATTTAAAGAACACAAATTAGCTCTGAGTGTTATTATATAATTACTAACAATACAATAAAATTATAAGCTGAAAGTCAATATTTCATAAGAAAGGAATTAAATAGCTAGCAAGGGAATTAATTAGAACTTGTGAGTTTAAAGTTTTCTGTTGAAAAGACAATAACAAAATAACAAGTATATTCTAAAGACAGAAAACTTCACTTTAATCTTGGGAGAAGACTAAAGTTTTCTGAGGAATCTCCATACTGCTTTCCATAGTTGTTGCACCAATTTGCAGTCCCACTGGCAATGTATAAGTGTACCTTTTTTTCCACATCCTTGCCAACATTATGAAGGGAAGGGAGGGAGAATGGGATTAGGAAAGATAGTAGAATGAATCAGACATAACTCTCCTATGTTCGTATATGAATACATGACCAGTGGAACTCCATATCATGTACAATCACAAGGATGGGATCCTAATTAGAGTAAGTTATACTTCATGTATGTATAATATGTCAAATGTACTGTCAAATTTTAAAACTTTTTAAAAAATATTTATTTTTTAGTTTTAGGTAGACACAATATCTTTATTTTATATTTATGTTGTGCTGAGGATCGAACCCAGTGCCTCATGCGTGCTAGACGAGCACTCTACCACTGAGCCACAAATAGCCTCTAAAACTTTTTTAAAAAAGAAGTGCTTCAGAAAAACAGAAGCATGAGATTCAGGATTCAGAATACAACATAGAAGAAGTGAAAAAGTATTCTTAGCATAAAAGCAAGGAGAAGCCAAAGGACAACAATGATCAACATCTTAGAGAGAAACCACTTTAAATCAAATGAGAACATCAGAACACTTGGGAAGGAATTCGATAAGAGACAGGGAAAGTACTACAAGTGAGCTAAAATACTAAACTATCATACTAAGAAAAGAATAAATGCTGTCTAATGTTTAAACATGACAAAATTAGAAGAAAGAGTCATGTATGACTTTAAAGTAGATAAAAACAAAAAGGACAACAAACAAAAGTATGAAGCATATGCCAAGAAATAGAAAAAAAATAAGTGAAAAGCTAATGACTGCTTTTTTTTTTGGTAAAAGTTCTTTAACTTTAGCAGTCTTTTTAACTCTTTGAGTGAAATACTTTAACATAAAAACAAACATTTTTAAATTGTTTCAAATTTGAAAACTACAAAATCAAATCTGAATTTCCCCTTTTCTCACATTTTCTAAATCTTGATATAAGTTTAAAAATGATTAGATTTATAAGGCAAACAAAACTCCCAAGAACTTTGATACATAAATGTATCAGTCATTATAAATTTATAAATCTTGACAGCAAAGCTGCAAAGAGGAGAAACTGACCTTTAAGGCAGCATCATAAACATCATTTGTGAGAGATTCCATCATATATGAACCCCCCCAAGGATCAGCCACTTTAGGAATGCCAGATTCTTCTTGAATGATGATCTGTGTGTTTCTGGCAATTCGAGCACTTTTCACAGTTGGCAAACCCAAAGCTTCATCAAAAGAATTTGTGTGCAAAGACTGAGTCCCTCCAAACACAGCTGCCATTGCTTCTACTGCAGTTCGGATAATGTTATTGTAGGGATCCTAAAACATTTGGTAAGAAATAGAAACAACAAAATAAGGAAACAGTTGATAGATGTTGTGATTATAAAAGGATATAATTAAGCAGATATAATTAAGCTGCCCACTTTCTATGCCAATGTCCACATTAGGCTTCAAAATATCAAATAAACTTAAGACAAATTAGTGATTATTAGTGGAATTAGAATTAAAAACCAACTGTACAGTATACGCTCAGGAACTAAAGCATTGTGAAATATCAAACATTTGTTGTGCCCACTTTTATACTTCATAAATATTTGATAACAATATCATGTATTTTCTCCTTAGATTTTATGAGCCCTCATCTCCTAATTCTCTGTCTTCCAATTATATTTTAGAAATCAAAGTATGGACCTCCTCGATATGCACAAAATAGACACTCAATACATGAATAACTAATTAAAACAAATAAAAAATGAATAATAAAATGAACAATGGACTATGGGGTATGAAATCTGGGTTAGAACTTACTATGTTCCTAATTATAATTTGAGAAACTCATTTTATTTCCCTGAACTTTAGTTTCCTTAGCTTATAAAGTAAGCAAATTGAGATAAAAAAGTATTGTTAAAATTTCTCCCAAACTCAAAATCTCTTTCTCCATTTTTATAAGGACCTGAAGTTATATTTCATATGGAACATATAAGCTGTAATTCATTTTTAAATTTATAAAAGCAATGGAACTTTAAAATTATAAATTACTTTTAAACATATCAAAACACTTTATGTAAAATGAACATGTATAAAGACAAGATTATCTTTCAACTTTGTTTTCTAAATCCACTGTGGTTCACTTAATACCTACTTTAATGTTAATAATTCATTTTCCACTGTTTATAATTTTGTATCCTACTTTATTTCCCTGTTCCAAAATTTGAACTTCATTCAATTTTGAGGCAGGGGGGAGAGTGAGTGCCAGGGATTGAACCCATGAGCACTTAACCACTGAGCCTCATCTTCACCCCTTTTTAAATTTTTCATTTTGAGACACGGTCTTACTAAGCTGCTTACGGTCTTGCTAAGTTTCTGAGACTAGCTTTGAACCCATGATCCTCTTGACTTAGCCTCCCTGAGCTGCTGAGATTACAAGTGTGCACCATTGAGCCTGGCTCCAAAATTTGTTCCTTTAGTAGAACATTACATATTACATTTTCACTAAATTACTTAGTTTTCATTCTTCATATGAAAACTGCGATTTTACAGAATTTTTGTTTTTCATTACAATTATTGTTGTATGAAGTATTCACAATGAATTTATTTTCCTGTTTTTTTATTTTACTTCTAGGCTATTATGTTTTATATTGTATGCTGTGCTTCATTTTTCACTTATTATTCTAGACTAAATTTGCACACTGTCAAGTTCCTATGTAATTTCAGTAATTTTAATTTTTTTTTTATATATGACAGTGGAATGCATATATTCTTATTACACATATAGAGCACAATTTTTCATATCTCTGGTTGTATACAACATATATTCACAACAATTCATGTCTTCATAGATGTATTTTGAATAATAATGATCATCATATTCCACCATCATTTCTAACCCCATGCCAAAAGGCATTTGAAAAAATACAGATATATGCAAATAGTACAAGTTTAAATAATATATAATTTATTATGGGAAAATAGGTATTCTCATATATTGTTGATGGAACTATATTTTGAATCTTTGGAGGGTAATTTGGTAATATTATGAAATAGTTGATAGATTTTAGTCATACTGTGCAAAAAAAATGCATTTTTACAAATACATGCATGCAACATTATTTGTGCAAAAAATTGCCAATTAAATGGCACTGTTTTTAAAAACATAACCAAAACTACAAAACACTATACAATTATTTTGGAGAGAGGAATATTTTTACATATAGGTGTGAAGTAATACTTAGGAATATTGAATTTTACTTCAATCCCCATTTCCCCTCCCTTTTTGTCCCCTCTTCCCTCCTCTACTCTATTGATATTTTTTCTTTTGATTTTGAAAAATGATAAAATCTGATACCATATTAGATTATGAATGAATTATTTGAGGTTTTGAAATGTAGCCAAGGTTCCAAACTTGGCCCTTTTTGTACTCCTTATAAAAAATTGCAAATGTATGCATCTTAGAAGAGTCCATCCTGTAAATTTTTGGAATATATATGTCTCCATCAATGATATAAAGAATAGTTTTGTATTGTTTTTGTTTGTTTGTTTTGAGAGAGAGAGAGAGAGAATTTTATTTATTTTTTAGTTTTTCAGCAGACACAACATCTTTGTTTGTATGTGGTGCTGAGGATGGAACCCGGGCCGCATGCATGCCAGGTGAGCGCGCTAACACTTGAGCCACATCCCCAGCCCAAAGAATAGTTTTAATAATAGTATTTAAGAAATGAATAATCTTTATAAATTACTTGCTCTTTATGTAATCATTAAACATCTATTCACTTAGAGAAAAAAAGAGACAAGATTATGACCATAAAATTTTAGTGTAATAAAATAGAATTAAAATAAATAACCCCAGAGATAATAGTATTTAAATGGTCTGCTTGCTCTAATGCTTGCTTGAACACAGAGCTTTTATAAACAAAATGCATATATATAATATCAACTTTTAATTACTCAGTTTTATATTAAGACTCCTATTAAAACTATATGATAGTAGTAATTAAATTATGACTTTAGATTTTTCTCATCATCAAATATTTTTTACTTTTTAAAAAATTTATTTTTATTACAGCATTATAATTATACATAGTATTTTACTTCAATCCCCATTCCCCCTCCCTTTTTGTCCCCTCTTCCCTCCCACTTTTCTCCCTTCTCTACTCTATTGATCTTCCTTTCACTCCTTTGTTTAATTTATTTTATTTTATTATTTATTTATTTTTGGTATCAAAATTTATTTATTTTGGTACCAAGGATTAAACTCAGGGGCACTCAACCACTGAGCCACATCTCTAACCCTATTTTCTATTTTTTTCAGAGACAGGGTCTCATTAAGTTGTTTAGTACCTTACTTTTGCTGAGGCTTGCTTTCGCTCCTATCTCAGCCTCTCAAGCCACTGGGATTAAAGGCATAAGTCGCCATGCCAAGCTATTTTTGATTGCTACCTTCTACATATACCTAAAGGAGAAATTCCCTTAAAAACGTAAAACAGCACTGTAAGATTTAAATGATATTATATTGTTAACCACTAGATGGAGCAAATTTTATTTATGCAATATGATAAATACAAATTTAAGTGTGTTTTATGCTTCTGAATATTTATGATTTTTCAAATGTTAACAGATAAATTCTACATGCTTGTACCATGTTGGTATAAGGAAATATTCATTTTCTTCATTAAAATTCTCTATTTTGAATTATATACATACCTGTTCAGTAAGTGACCATCCTGATGTCTGACAATGTGCTCTTAGAAGAAGAGATTTAGAATTTTTAGGCTGAAACATTTGCTCTATTAAATGAGCCCACAGTCTTCTCCCAGCTCTCATCTTTGCTATTTCCATATAGAAGTTCATCCCAATTCCCCAGAAGAAAGACAACCTAAAACAATAATGTTAAATCCAGAATTTGCTTAAATTTAACAATATAAAACAGAAAATTAATTAATTAATATAAAACAGAAAATTAACACACTAGAAAATCAATATCCAGATTTTAATATCAAACATCTTAATTTGAATTAAAAAATACACACATATATAAGTATGTGCAAACCTTAACATACAAAAGTATAATTTTATGCATGTAGAAGAAATAGCTTAGAAGTAGCCTAAAAACTATTCAATTTGCAATTGTTTTTCCTTAGGAAATAATCTCCTAATGTGTCCTTGATTAAATATTCATTTTCTAAAAAATAAAAAATATTTTAGCAATATTCAGTATGTAAGGCAGGGTTTTTTATGGAGGGAATAAATGTCAAACTTGCTTTGAATGGGTAGGAAAAATACATTTTTTGGCGGGGTGGGGGTAGTGCACACCTGAAATTATAGCACTGGAAAGGCAGGAGGATTCCAAGTTTCTGGCCAGTGTTAGCAACTTAGTGAGACCCTGTATCACAATTTTTTAAAAAATTAAAAGAGCTGGGAGTGCAGCTCAGGGGTAAAGCACCCCTGGTTTCAATATCCAGTACCACACACACAAAAAAAGTTTGGAATTTTTTTCATACTATTTATGATTTGGTCTGAGCAGATTTTTCTCCAATTTGTCTCTAATTTTACCATTCTCTGCTATCTTATATTCTGTAGTTGATACAGGTTACTTAATCACTTCTAAAACCACAAAGGTTATGATATCTTAAATAAAACAAGGTGAACTTTAAGAAACCAAAACTTAATTAAAAAAATACTTCATGTATATTTGGAAGAAGTTCCTAATATAGTATTTTTCAAATATTTTGGTCCCACAAACTTTTTTTTTTAATTTTTTATTTGTAGGTGGACACAGTACCTTTATTTTATTTTTATGTGGTGCTGAGGATCGAATCCAGTGCCCCATGCATGCCAGGCAAGCACACCACCTCTGAGCCACAACCCCAGCTCCCCCACAAACTCTTTAAACTCTTAAAAATTAATGAAGATCCTAAGGAATATTTCTTCATTTGGGTAATATCTATCAATATTTTATTTACTAGTTCATTTAAAAACAACAATAAACTTACAACATGTTAACATTAAGTAATATTTTTATGAAAATAGGTATACTTCTCTAACACAAAAATTGTAATAAAAAATCATTATTTTTACATTTTTTGCAAATGTCTGTAACAATTTTTGTAGTCTTAGATCTGATGCTGCATTCAATCTGTTGCAACATTGCATCTCATGTGAGTTCTGGAAAACTCCACTATAATCTTGGGAGAATTAAAGTGAAAAAGGCAAATAAAGTTGTAAGTTAGTCATGAAAACAGCTTTGACCTTGAAGGCCCCATTAAAGGTCTAGCAATCCCCATGAGTCCTTGGACCACATTTTGAGAACTGCTATCATAAAAAATATGCAACATCCTGGTATATAGGAACATTCACTGATCTCTAAAAGGCAGAAGTCATGTTTTCCAAGTGCTGTACTGCCAGCATACAGGTTAGTGCTTGGCTCAGAGCAAAGCTTAACAAGTAAATACTTTATAAACCATATTTTTCCTTTTACTTTTTCATACAACTTTATTAACAAGATTTTTTTGAAACACGTTTCATAGCACTGTGCATACAATATTTATATTACATAAGTACAACAGAAAAAAGTAACAGATGATTTCCATATTTTCAAATGGAAAAATTAATAAAAGTAAAATTGCTTAATCTTATGTTTACATTTTAATATAATTTGTCAATAAACAGTATTCAATTATTCTCTCATTAACATATAGATAAAACATAAGACAATCCAAAACTAGCATGACATTTATATTTGTAAATCCATTTTGTCAACATATTTTGCTGCACAGTAATAAAATGGTTTTAAGAATCTTCTTAATTTTGAGACAATATCTAAATTTAATTTACTTACCTTGGTGCAAATTCATCAATTGTTAGGCCAGCTTGGAGTCCAGTTCTACAGTACTCCAATCCATCTGCTATAGTATAGGCCAGTTCCAGAATGGCATCGGCTCCTGCTTCCTGCATATGGTATCCACTTATTGAAATTGAATTAAATTTTGGCATGTGCTATATAAAATAAAAATCACAAGTGAACAAAAATATTAGGAGATTGTATTAAAACAATTTTCTAAGAGCAATTATTAAAAAATGATGTTCAAGTCAGATATACTTGATAATTCATACTATTTACTGAATACATTTAAGGATTGCTATACTAAATTCCATCTCAAATTTAAAAGATCTATCCATAAATCATCAAAAAGACTGAACCTGTTTTATTTTTCTAATGGAAAGAATCTGCATTAACCATTCTTTAGATTAAATAAAAGAAAATATCATTGATTCCAAACCAATACTCTGGCCTCAGAAGAAGATGTATCGATTTGATATTATTTACTAGTTATTCATTTACTCTTTGGAATGAAGGCATCAAACATGAATAAGCACACAGTGGAAAAATTATTTTCAAATGAAACAAGATAAAAGGAAGGCTAAAAAATAAAAAATGGGGGTTGGGGTTGTGGCTCAGTGGTAGAGCAGTTGTCTGACGTGTGAGGCACTGAGTTTGATTCTCAGCACCACATATAAATAAATGAATAAAATAAAGGTCTATCGATAACTAAAAAAAATTTTAAAGATAAAAATTGGTTTGATTTATTGTTAGATTTAATGCTAAGCATATCTCAGTTGGGTTCTTTTTACCACAATCACTAAAAGAACTGCATTTCCACTCTTACCCTAAAATTTCATGTTAGATAAAGTATATAATCACAAGTGTTCTACAGAGTTCAAAAATTATTATCCTTCCAGAATTAACTAAATATCAAATAATAAAAACTCAATCACAAAGAAATTGTACAGTGTTTAAAAGGACACACTCTCGAATCAGAGAGCTCAGATTCTGTGCCACTCAACTAGCTGAGACTGTACGCATGTCTCTCAGTCTGTCTATTCCTTAGTTTCCTAAACTACAAAATAGAGGCAATAACTATAACTTTCTCATCGAATTGTTTTAGGATTAAATGAAATGACTCATCTAAACAATTTAGTATTATTCCAGCATATAGTACATACTCAAAAATCTTCCAGATACTACACTAAACAAAATAAGGCAGGTACACAAAGGCATTAGTCTATGATTCCTCTTATAAAAGCACTTAGAATATCAAATTCACAGAGATAGAAAGTAAAATGGTGGTTTCCAAGAGTAGTAGGGAGGGCAGAATGGGTACTTATTGATTAATAGATATAATAGAGTTTCAGTTTTGCTAGAGGAGAAAGTTCTGGAAATAAATGATAGTTACGGTTACCCAACAATGTGAACGTACTCAATGCTACTGAACTGTATACTTAAAATGGTTAGGATGGTAATTTTATGACCTATTACTTTGCCAAAATTTAAAATTCTTTAAAAAATACAAAAATTCACATTCACAAAGTCCTTCAAAGTAACATTATTTGATCAGTATCTGAAGTTGGCATTATATCACTTATATGAAGGATTGTTATCAAGAGATTTTGAACTTGTGGATGGCATTAGAATCTTTCACAAGATGAAATACCCAACTATAAAATAGCACAGACTGCTATTATCTATACAATAATCATTCTCCCCCTTCCTCTATTAGTGGAACCATAAATTCAGAATAGCAAAATACGAAGCCCTACATTTCCACTGTTCTTTTACTAGTATTTGCATCCACTGAATTACAAGTGGGAGTTTGGTGTGTTCCCTATGGAAGTTCATTTTTAATTGGAGGAGCTTGGTCTCTCTTCCTCTGACACATACCTGGTCTACTTCCTTCCTTAACCAGAGCTGACACACTAACAGTAAAAGAGAAGCAAGATAAAAGGAGCCTGGAACCCTGATGAATACTGAGATTCCATTTAAGCAGTCCCCTGACTGTCCATCTTCTGACTTCTTTAGATGAAACTGACTTCTATTTAGTTTAAGTTACTGATATTTGTGTGTTTGCTATATGCTGCTAAACACGATCCTCCTATGTACATGTTCTTGAAATCTAAAAGTGACAGAAATGCATAAGTATATGCAATACACTTCATTTGGGCAGATGCTGTTCATGAAAAGAAGTAAAATTATAAAGTGTAAAACCTAATATCAAATGGGAAGCTGTATACCAATGCTTGTGGAGATAGCCATAATTATACAAGGGTGAATGAATTAAGTATCTTTTTTCTTTTCTTTTTCTTTTTTTTTTTTTCGTAGTCCTGTGTGTGAATTAATAAGATTTAAAAACATTAGATGGAGAAGAGATTTTCCCCTTGCCATTAAATAATGGACTAATGTTAAGGTAGGTAAGGAGAAGCAGAGCAATTCTAGCAAGAAGTAAAATTTGAGAAACAGGTGGAAATATATATGAACTGCTCAAAGGAAAATGAAGGAGGAGGAGGAAAATGTTTTCCTATGCTATTTCTATAGCTAATACTGAGTAGGGAAGATGAATCTAATTCAGGGATGAATATTAGGGACCCCATTGATGTTGAAGATATAATTCAGATCTTTCAATCCTGCATTTAGCATAAATACACTGATATTCTGAGCCCATCTGTCTTGACAACAGTGTCTATTTCAACTATATCTGAATTCTGGAGAAAAATAAAAATTATAAATTATGAGACTTCCCTGACTCTACCAATTATCATAAAATTAAATTTAAACAATAAAGATAATACAGTAAATGTACATTGTGCAGGCTAATGTCAGACCATAAAATATACATCAAAGACAAAAACTAATAACAATAAAACACAATGACTTTGTACTCTATTACTCAGACCCTTCCGATATTCAAGTGAAGTCACAGAATTCTGTAAAAACTCCTATATTCAAACAAGTACAGCAAAACATATAATGATGAAGTATACCTTAGCTGTATATTGGAAGATGTCGGCAATAATTTTCATGGATGGTTCTGGAGGGAAAATATAAGTATTTCTGACCATAAACTCCTTTAGTATGTCATTTTGAATTGTTCCGGTAAGTTTCTCTTTGGGTACACCTTGTTCTTCTCCAGTTACTATAAAAGTTGCAAGAACTGGAATAACTGCTCCATTCATGGTCATGGAAACTGACATTTTTTCTAAAGGAATTCCATCAAAAAGAATTTTGGTATCTTCCACAGTATCAATAGCAACTCCAGCCATTCCAACATCACCACGAACTCGAGGGTTGTCTGAATCATAACCACGATGCGTTGCTAGATCAAAGGCAACTGATAACCCTTGTTGACCAGCTAAATATATAAGGAAATATTATGTAAGATTAGTATGGCATCAAAATGAACTGATTTACTTTAACACTACACAAAACACTGATTTGTCTCAGTACTGTATGTTTTACAACATTTTTAAAATTTTTGTTGTTGTTGTTGTAGTTGGACACTTGCCTTTATATTATTTATTTGGGGTTTTTTTTGGTGCTGAGGATCAAACCCAGGACCTCGCATATGCTAGACAAGCACTCTACCGCAGAGCCACAGTCCTAGCCCTATTTTACAACATTTTAATGCTTAGATATCTTTAAGTAAAGATATTAGATGTTGTTTCTGATGTGCTAACAATGTAAAAACTGAGTTCCAAATCAATGAGAAAGAAGAGAACGATCATAGTATCTCATATACTCATGTCTATCTGAGATTTGTTGCTTAAGCTCAAGCGGCAAATCACCTGGTTTGTTCTTGACAGTTTTTGACTGAAATATTTCTAAAACTCATGAAAAGATTGGGCTGTTCAAATATAGTTAAGACAAGAGCATTTGTTTACTCACTTTTTTGTTCTTTAACATGGTCAGAAGAAGATGTTTTAGCTAACAGAATTATGAAAGACACCCCATCCCCGTTTTTTGGTGTAATTCTGGAGATTGAATCCACTACCTTTTACATGCTAGACAAGAGCTCTACTACTGAGCTACATCCCCAGACCACATCCAGAATTTTTAAATAAATATATAGTCTACACTAAACATATGTTCAATCCTCCATTAACAATACACACTTAGGAATGCTCAAGTTTAACATGTAACCAACATGATTTAATTATAGATCAGAAAAAGAAATTATAAACATAATTTTCAGAGAATGAATGCAAGATTGCACTGAATCTACCAGTATATTATCATTTTCTTTTTACTTTCTTTGGTCACAATTTAAACTATCTTCCCCTCCAATACTTATTCCAACAATAGTAATTAAAAGCTTTTCAAAGGTAAAGCAAAAGTCTTTTCTTCATACAACTTCACCTCACCTAATTGCTTTTATACATAAAGGTATAAGCACTTTGTTCTAACTCACTTATCCTTTTAATCACAGAAGTTGAAAAACATTCATTTTTTTCAGCATAGTCTCTAATCACAAAATTATAAAGTGAATATCTTAAAAGAGATTATTAGTGTCTCCTCAAAAAAACCAAAAAGCCAAGATTAGGAGTTATGTGTAATTAGAAATATAATATCTCATGTTAAAATCTCACCTTTAATATTGTCTTTATAGAATTTGTTGCTTTCTTCCACAGTACTAAAACCTGCATATTGGCGGATGGTCCAGGGCCTAAAAGTATACATGGTAGGATAAGGTCCACGTGTGAATGGCTTCACTCCTGGAAGTTCTCCAGGTAAGTCCTTAGTATCCTCCTTGGAATACAAGGGCTTTATAGAGATCCCTTCTGGGGTGTGCCATATTAGGTCTTCTGGGTTTTTGCCTTTCAGCTGTTTTTTGGCCAGGGCAGCCCATTCTGGATGAAGAGGTTTCTGCTGATGTAGACACCGTATCCATCGGAGCCTGGAGGATGATGGTTCTTTTAACTGCTTCAGGTAATGGGGTGAAAGTGAAAAAAGCTGATTCTTTGCCCTCAACATGATGAAGCATGAAAATACTCAAGGAAATTGAGAACTGATCTAGAAAAATAAAAAAAAAATAGTTTGCATATATTTTAAAATATCCCTTTTGCTACTTTCTGCACCTAATATTGGCTCCTTTTCTCCACGTTTACAATTGTTCTAGTTCTTCTTCTTCTTCTTCTTCTTCTTCTTCTTTAGACCCTTAGTTGGCTTTACTGACCAGCCTTAGCACCATCTAATCCATTTACCCACTGACACCAGTGCAAATTTTGTCACATTCTCACAAAATTTTTCAAAGGTTCTGCATCATATTGAAGATAAAGTATAAATTCCTATTTTTTTCATTTAAAAGAGTTTTAATTAATATTTACTTCATGAAAGGCATTACTGTAGCTGGTAACGAAAAAAGTGGTAAAAAAATCAAACAGGCATCTAAGACTTCCATAACCAGTTTCTGCTAACCTGTCAAACTCACATCTGACTTTGTCCACTCCACATTCTGTGTCAAACTCACATCTTCCTTTGTACTCTACATATTATATTCTTGAAATACTGGATTCCCTACAGTTCACTGCAGATGCGAAAGATTTATGAGTTTGTTCTGTTCTCCCTTCAGCCTAAAATATCCTGTTTTTATTTAGCTAATTCAGCTAAGGCATTATCTCTTAACATGCATTTTCTATATGCCAGGCACACAGAAGGCCCTGAGGACTTCACAGAGAGCAGAAATTTTAATTCTGAAAATACCAACAGGTAGGTATCAATATTGTCCTAATTTTAGAGACTTGAATGTAGAGAGCCTAATTTATTTCTTTCTTCTACTTTTTTTTTTTTTTAAAGAAAACAGGGTCTGACAAATTTGCTAAGGGCCTAACAAAATTGGTGAGGCTGGCCTTGAACTTTCGGTTCTCCTGTCTCAACCTTCCCACAGTTGAGATTACACATGAAAACCACTATACCCAACTGACAGCCTAATTTCAAAGAACTTCCCTTTAATTAATATTTTTCCAGACTCCCTGAATCCAGAAGTTGGGCCAAATAGCCACATCAGTAATCTTGCTCCTTCCAGTTTACGAATTGCTCAAACATTAGGGCTATGTATTCTATGTATTTTTTTTGGCGGGGGCGGGGGGGGGGGGGTACTGGGGAATGAATCCAGGGATTCTCTATCACTGAGTCACATCCCCAGCCCTAATTTGTATTTTATTTAAAGACAGGCTCTCACTGAGTTGCTTAGTACCTTGCTTTTTCTGAGGCTAGCTTTCAACTCATGATTCTCTTGTCTCAGTCTCCCGAATCGCTGGGATCACAGGTGTGCACCACTGAGCCCAGCTCTATGTATTTTTTTTAATTTTATTTTTTAGCTAAAGGTGGACACAATATCTTTTTTTTTAGAGAGAGAGAGAGAGAGAATTTTTTTTATATTTATTTTTCAGTTTTTGGTGGACACAACATCTTTATTTTATGTGGTGCTGAGGATCAACCCAGTGCCCCACGTATGCCAGGCGAGCGTGTTACCGCTTGAGCCACATACCCAGCCCCTGGACACAATATCTTTATTTTATTTTTATGTGGTGCTGAAGATCGAACCCAGGGCCTCACGCAGTCCAGGTGAGCGCGCTACTACTTGAGCCATATACCCAGCCCCTCTATGTATTCTTAATAACTAGCATAGAGTCTTACATTAAGTGATGGAGCCAATTTCATCACTTTACAGATATAGAAATTGAAGTTCAGAAAAATAAAGAAATAAAGTGGCTTGATCAAAATCCCATAGAGGAAAAGAGTAAACTGTTTATCTTAATTACTGAATAACTTTAGAGTTATCCAGCCTCAGTATACAGAGATTATCATTTTAAACTATTTTATATGCAAACATGATTAATAAATTTATCATACCATATTATTTTATACTGGTGAACCCACAAGATAAATGAATTTTAAATTCTATATTCCATACCATTTCTTAGATTTAATGAAGCATAAAAGACTAACACCATAGGGTCATGAAATAACAAACAATTCACTAGTGGAAGTATTAGCTATAACTGAATTGCAGCATATGCAAATACAGAATTTTTTATGTAGCTATTTAAATATTTAGGAAACAATAAAAATTAATTTTTATATCAAAAGTGGCTACTTATGGTAGCTAGTACAGAAAGGGAGCTAGAGGGAACCCATTGAGGTGATAGTCTTGAACTGAATGCCAATTACTTAGATGTATTGCATTTGTGTAAATTTATTAAACTGTGAAACTATAAAGTATGTGCTTTCTGTAAGTATACAAAAATAAATAAAAAATTAAAACTAGGTTATGTATAGATTCTTTTTTTTTTTTTTTTTTGAAAAAAAAAGTAGACAAGCTCATAAAGAATCAGGGTACATCTTTGTAAATGCAATACACTCAAATAGGTAAAAAGTCCTTAGGACAAAGTCTAAACATAAATAACATAAAAACAACTCTCATAAGTTTTAAAGGTATTATGGTTTTTATTTTATTAAACCTGGGGGTCCTTGTCATCCATCTTTTTGCAAGCTACCCTTGTATTTACTAGCTTAAAAGATTAATGAGAAAAATTAAGAAGCTATAACTGAACCATTCCTGTAGCAATAATATAAAAGGTAATTTGATAACTGAGACTAAATTGAAGATGGAAAGTACCACATCTATTTCACACAAAATACTCTGAACCTTTCTTCAACCTGGACAAATGACAGGAGAGAGCCCTGTAAAACAGAAACTTCCTGAAAACCAAATGGCAAATTGGGAAGGTTGGAAATTTTTTAAAATAAGAACATAACCACTATTGATGGCAATAGGACTTCTGAATTTTCTTAGAAGATGCATCAGGAAAGGCTTCAAGCATTCAGAGAAGCAACATGCAAAACAAATATGATGATTAGAATGGGTTAAATAGAGGTGATAAAATTCTTCCTCTCACCTTCAGAAAATATACGTAGGAAAAAAACTCTGAACCAAACCATTTTCAAGTTTGACTGTTCATGTGGGTACCTAAAGAAAGGCTAGCTACCTCCCATGTTCAGGCATTTTGGATTAGAGATGTAAGTTAATATTAGCAACTAAGGACGTGCAAATTAATATTAGCATAAAGAATTCATTAAATACAAATTATACTGCGTTAAATCAAGTGGCTTAAAACCTTGCACGCTTCAAGCTTCTAAAAGACCTCTTTCTAGACAAAGCCAAGAGCAAGTAAATATTTTACACTTTGCCGATTTAGACCTGTTTTTCCTATTCTATCTCTCACTCCTAACCCAACTACGTTTTGTCTCATCGCCTTTTTGGAAAAACTCTAATAACATGAGCCGGAGACTAGAAGGAAGGCTGCCATGGAGCCGGGGGGCAACCCCTCTGGAATCATAGGAAAAATGAGCTCTGCTTAATAGGTACTCCTGTGGCCCGAGATGACAGCGACATTGTTCCTGAACTGAAGAGCACCTTTGCAGTGGTGCCTCCAAATACCCAAGGACCTGAATGAACATTTAACCCTGAGAAGAAAGAAAGTCGAGGAAAGTGCTATCCTTTCCAGTAGGAAGGAAAACAAAAAGAAGGACAGGACAGAGTAGAAGAGAAAAGGGGGTAGAGCAGAGACGAGCTAGAAAAATGAAAATGGAAGTATCTGAAAGCCTGACGGGCTCCCAGGTGCAGAGCTCTACTCACTGGCGGACTTGTTGCTGACAGCTCTGTGGGAAAGGGCCGCAGACCCCACGCACACCGCCCCCGCCCCTCACTTGCCAAGAGGTCAACACATCTGTAAGTCCCGGCAACAGTGCAAGCGCGAACGCCTCCTAGGCCAATCAGGGAGCCGAGGCTGACACCGCCCTCTGCCAGACCAATCAAATCACACGTTCTGCGAGCGCGCTTCTGATGACGTCAGGAGCAGGCCTGGACGACCGCCTTCTACTGCAAGCATTTCCGCTTTCTTCTCACGTTATTCCGGGTCTCCGGCTTTTGATTATTTGGGCGCGAAGTAGTCTGAGCACAAGTTCCAGAGAGACTGAAGAAGAATCAGTCAGTGGTGAGTCGTGAATCCAGGTTAAGGGATGAGTTTTGTAGCCAACGCGTTTATAGCAAACTCCGAGATTTCTGTTTGACGAGCGAGGCGGTTTTTCAAGGGGAAATGTCCGATGCCCCAAAAGGTCTGCACTCAGGAGCCGAAGGCTGAGGTATTTGTTTTTTCTCCAGGGCGCGAAGCTGCGACCGTCCTCACTGTGGTCATCCTCCTTGGCCACATTCCTGAAGCTCTGCGCAGTCGGTGGTGAACGAAGTGCAGCTTTAGAGAGCAGTGTCCGTGTTTCTTCAGGCACCCTCTTGTGCCCTCTGGGTTGAGCACCCTGATTTGAGCTTCAGCAAGGTGATGGAGAAACCAGACTACGTGGGATACCTCCCTCTTTGGTGTACAGTCCGACTGCAAACTCTCCTTGGTGCCTTGTTTCTTTCTACTCCTACCTTACACTGTGAAAGCCTCGCTGAAGGTTTCCTGCCGTCGACACCAGTTACATTCCCTCTGACCTGCCATTGCTTTTGCCGATTTCTCTTAAATACTTCATTCATTCATTCATTCTTCTGGCTAAATATTTCAAAGTGTAATTCAAAGAATGGTTTCTTTAAATACTGTGTATTCCTACATGTACACGGAATCAAATTTGAGGTATTCATTCAGTCATATCTCTTTCATAGCAGTTACCACATGATAGATAGGAATTGCCATATCTGTTTCTAGTCACTATGACAAGGCTATGGTTTCCTGTGGATCCAGAAACAGGACAAAATTTCTGTTTCTTTTTATATACACCACAGTTATCCCAATATGATAGAAATGACTTTTGTTTATTGAGTTCTTACTGTGACCCAAGTATTGTTCTATACACTTTATATGTTCTGTAATAAATCATTTTAGCCCCTCAGACACCTCTGATGTTAGTACTCTTATTAAGCTATTTTACTAATACAGTAACTGAATTAATTATTTCAAAGCTATATAGCTTGTTAAGTGGCAGAGCTAGGATTTGCAGCCTGGACAATTTATTTATCCTCATCCCTGGCTTACTCTTAACCACCATAGCAGTGGTTATCAACATAGGGCAGTTTTGCACCAGGGGAAATTTCACAATGTATGGAGACATTTTTGGTTTTCACTCTTTGTGAGTGGGTGGATTCTAGCTTCTGAAGCATGATGACAAGGAATACTTCTAAATATCTACAGTGCACAGGATAGCCTCCTACAACAACAACTCCAAAAATTATCCCATACAAAATATTAATAATGCTGAGGTTTAGAAACCTTTTATGCTGTGTTTTATGACCTCAAGTAAGTATTAAAACAATTATTTCTAAAATCTTGACAAAGGACTGATTTTTTTTTTAAAAAATCTTGTCATGCACAACTGATACTTTTGTAAAATACAATTTAAAATTAATTATTATTCAAACCCATAGACTGTACAACATCAGTAATGGACTGTAATCTAAATTGTGGATTTGGGTTCATATGATAAGGTAGTTTGTTGTAGCAGCTCCAGTACTATGGTGTTAGATGTTGATGGGGGAAATTGGAGTGGATTGGCATAGGCAGAGGCTATATGGGAACTCCCTATATTTACTGCTCAGTTTCACTGTAAAACTATAATTGGTCTAAAAATAAAGTCCACTCTTTAAATATTACACCAGAAAAATGAGATTCAAAAAACAAGGTCAATTATTTTATGATTAGACTTGACATACATAAAATTACTTTTTCATATTGTTATGGAAACTTTTATTATGCTCAATTTCTTTTTGTAGTTTTTATTAGAGCATTATAACTTATACATAATGGTGGGACTCATTGTGACATATTCATAAATGCACATAACATACTTCAATCAATCTCATTTCCCTGTATCTCCCCTTTCCCTACTGCCTCTACTCTACTTGTCTCCATTGTATTTTTTTAATTAGGGCATTATAAGTATACATAAAAGTGAAGATGATTGTGTATATTCATATATGGACAGAGTGTAATTTGGTCAGTTTCATTCTACAGTACCTCCTCTTTCCCTCCTCCCTTTGAATCTCCTTTCTTACTCTATTAGTCTCCCTTTTATTGTCATGGGATCACATTTTTTTCCATCTGTTTTCCACATATAAGAAAAAGAATTCAATCCTTGACTTTCTGAGTCTGGCTTACTTCACTTAATATAATATTTTCCAGTTCCATCCATTTACCAACAAAGGGTATAGTTTCATTCTTTATGGCTGAGTAAAATATTGTGTGTGTGTATATATATATATATATATATATATATATATATATATATATACACACCACATTTTCTTGAACTATTCATCTTTTGACAGACATCTAGGCTAGTTCCATAAGTTGGCTATTGTGAAATACACTGCTATAAACATATGCATGTGTGTATCACCATAGTATACTGATTTTAATTATTTTGCATAAATACCAAGTAGTGGAATAGCTGTGTCATAGGATCATTCCACTGCTAGTTTTTTGAAGAATCTATACTGATTTCCACAGTGGATGTTCTAAATTTTAGTCCCATTAACAATATGAGGCTTTTTCCTTACACTCTTACAAGAATTTATTATTTGTATTCTTTCTCTCTCTCTCCCTTTTTTTTTTTTTGGCACTAGGGATTGAACTTAGTGTCACTAAACCACTGAGCCACATCCCCATCCCTATTGTATTTTATTTAGAGATAGGGTCTCACTGAGTTGCTTAGCACCTCGTCATTGCTAAAGCTGGGTTTGAACTCACAATCCTCCTGTCTCTGAACTCACAATCCTGTCTCAGCCTACTGAGCTGCTGGGATTACAGGCATATGCCACTGCACCCCACTATTATTGTATTGTTGATGTTTGTTGTTCTATCTGAGGTGAAACAAAATTGCAGTATAGTTTTGTTTGCATTTCCTTAATTGCTAAGCATATTGAACATTTTTTTTCATATATTTCTTGGCCATTTGTATTTCTTCTTTTGAGAAATGTCTATATAGATTGTTTGCCCATTTGTTGATAGGGTTATTCTGTTTTGTTTTTGTTTTTTAATGTTAAGTGGTTTTTGTTCTGTGTATATTCTGGATATTAATCTGTTGAAAGAATAGTTGGTAAAGATTTTTCTCCCATTCAGTAGACTCTCTCTACGCTCTTGGTTTCCTTTTCTATGCAGAAGCTTTAATGTGATACCATCCCACTTGTCCATTCTTGGTTTCATTTCTTGAGCTTTAGGAGTCTCATTAAGGAAGTCTGTGCCTGTGCCTATATGCTGGAGTGCTGGAGTATTGACCTTTTGTTTTCTTCTATCAGTTGTAAAATATATGGTCTAATATTCAGGTCTTTGACCCACTTTCAGTTGTTTGTTGTGCAGGGTGAGAGGGATCTAGTTTTATTCTTTGCCAATGAATATCCTATTTTCCCAGCACCATTTGTTTAAATGACTATCCTTACTCTCACATATGTTTTTGACTCCCTTGCCAAAGATCAGATAAGTGTATCTATGTGGATTTGTCTCTGTGTTTTCTGTTCTATTCTATTGATTTACATGTCTGTTTTTATGCCAGTACCATACCTTTTTTGTTACTCTAGCTGTGTAGTATAATATGAGATCAGGTGTTTTGATGTTTCCAGCCTTATTCTTATTGTTCATAATTGCTTTGACTATTATTAATCTTTTATTCTTTCATGTAAATTTTAGGACTTTTTTCTAGTTGTGTGAAAAATGTATTTGATATTTTGATGGTATAACACAGGGTCATGTGAGTGCTGGAGGGTTCTTGTCTCATGCACCCAAAGAATGAAGTACACAATGATGAGGGTGAGAATTCAGTAGCAGATTTATTAGAAGCAAGCAAGGAAAGCTCCTACAGCATGGGAGGGGTCCCAAAGAGGGACTGCCTAGGAGTATTTATACTGCTTTGATGAAGAACCAACCTTTCAATGGAAAGTTCCCCTTTGGTTGTTCTCTTTCTCTGTCTCAATTGAAGGTGCACAACTTTAATTTCTTATTCCCATAATGGGATTATTTAATGTGTTTGTTTACCTGAATTTATCTGTACTTGTTCCTTAAAACAAAAGAATTGCTTGGGTTCCAAACAACTTAATGAGGTTAACTAATGTTAGGGTAGTCAAGGAAACTTGGGGCAACAACAGAATGTATGGGTATCTAAGCATGAGTGGGGTCTTCTACTCAGACAACCAAAAATAAAAACAAAAAAATCAAGCTTTAACCTAGGGTTTTAATCTGGGGTTATGGTCCTGCCTCAGTGGGAATGCATTGAATATGTGGATTGCTTTTATAATATGACCATTTTAAAAATGTTAATTCTGCCTATCCAAGAACATGGATGGTCTTTCCATATTCTAATGTCTTCTTCAATTTCTTCCTTTAACGTGCATGCAGTGGTGCATGCCTGTAATCCTAGCAAAGCAGGAGACTAAGGCAGGAGACTAAGGCAGGAGGATCCAGGTTCCATGCTGGCCTGAGCAACCTAGTGAGAGTAAAATCAACAAGAACAACAAAAACTGGGGAGCTAGGGATGTGGCTCAGAGGTAGAATGATTCAGGGTTTGATTCTCAGTTGCCCTAGGGGAATGTACGGGGGAGTGGCCTATAATTTTCATTATAGAGGTCTTTTAACCAAATCTAAATTTGGTTAGATTTGCGGGGGGCAGGTAAGTTCATTATTGCTGTATAGAAAAGCTATTGATTTTTGTATATTGCTACTTTGCTCAATTCAGCTCTGGAAGTCTGGTGGAGTTTTTTGGATCTTCTATGTGTAGTATCATATCATCTACAAATAGATAAGCTGATTTCTTCTTTTCCTATTTATATCCCTTTAATTTCCTTCTTGGTCTTAATTATTCATTACTAAAATTTCAAGTACTATATTGAATAGGAGTGGTAAGAGTACATTGAATACCTATACTTAAAAAAATCCCAAATAAACAATCAGTTGTTACATTTCAAGGCCCTAGGGAAAAAAACTAATTCCAACTGGAAATAATTAAGATCAGACCCAAAATTAATGAAATAAAGAATAGAAAACAATAGAAAGGATAAGTGTAACATATAGTTGGTTCTTTGAAAAGACATATAAGGTGTATATATCCTGGTGAATTAACCAAGAGAGACAGAACACCCAAATCAATTAAAGATGAAAAAGGAGATATCACCATAGACATAGCTGAAATCCAGAAGATCTTCAGAGACTAATTTGAACATAAACATTTCAATAATTTGGAAAATTTAGAAGATACTGACAAATTTCTAGTCTCATGACTTACCCATATTGAGCTAGGAAGATAGAGAAAACCTCAACAGACCAAAACACAAGCAGCAAAATTGAAGTGGTAATAAAAAGCCTTCCAACAAGAAAAACTCAGGACCAAATGGATTCTCAGCTGGATTCTACAATATCTTTAAAGAACTTGTGCCAGTACACTCCAAAGTATTTCCATGAAATAGAAAGGAAGGGAACCCTCCCAAATCCATTCTATGAACACAGTATCACGCTGATAACAAAATCAGATAAGGATACATCAAGGAAGGAAAACTAGACCAAAATCCCTGATGAATGTAGATGCATATATCCTTAGTAAAGATTAGCTGTCCACATTTAAAAGCACATTAAGAATATTGTACAACATGATTAAGTTGTTTTCATTCAGATATGCAAGGTTGGGTCAATATATGTAAACCAATAAATATAATCTATATCATAAATGTAATTGAGGACTGAAGTTGCATACATGATCATTTTAATAGATGCAGAAAAAGCCTTTGATGGTATTCATCACCAATTCGTGTTAAAAAACGGTGTAGAACTAGAACAAGAAGGAACTTCATCAAAAGTGCTGTGTATATGATAAACCCAAAGCTAGCATCATAATGAATGGAGAAAAACAAAGCATTACCTCTGAAGTTATTCTCAATCTCTGTATTTAAAGGAATTGCACCAATTTGAGAATCAAATTTAGAATAGTGCTGAATTACATATTATTGGGTAAAGAATGTTAAGAGAAAGTGAATAACATCCAAACTGTAAGTGTAAAATGAGAGAGGACATAAGAGCCCATAAACTTTGGAATAAATGAAGTAGCATTTTTAGGTAGGTTTTGGGAAGAAGATGGCTCATAATCTGAGAGGATAGGTAAGATAGGGGAGTGAGCAGCTCAGGCAAAGGGACAGTGTGTACATGAATGGCAGAATTACCAGTAGGAGAGAAGTATGTTTAGAAAAGGAATGGTGAGTATATATCCAGTATATGTACCTATAAACAATATATGCATATATATATGTGTGTGTGTGTATACATATTTCCTTGTGTACTATACCTAACTTGTAACCTATTTACTCCTGTGGTCTAGCATAAGAATACGTAACTCATTCCTCTATCAGAAATGACTTTGGTGATAAAGGGCTATTAGGGAAAAGGAATTGTTCTGAGTATTCTCATTGACATCACCATTCCCATGTGTATTTTGTAGTTGGTATACTTTTGTACTCTTGTTAAAATGTACATAGTGTATTTAAATGTGACTTAAATCCTTATAAGTGTCAGGCTGTCACATTAATATCCACAAATATTCATTGATAATATAATCGTAAAAATTATCTCCTCCCATCTTTTCCATAAATTGAACAATGGGAAAACCCATTACTTAAAATCAGAAGATATTATTCTTTGATCTGACATTTTCTGTCTCTTTATAATTTTTTGATATTAACATGGAGATAACGTATGGAGGATAGGAGGTGAAAGATGCAAAAGCATTTTTAAATTATTTTTAAAGCCATAAAAATTGAAACAATTTCAAAAAATGAAATTGAATTAGATCTCCTGATACAAAAATGCCAAATTATTTGTTTTAAAATGTTTAAATGTATTAAAAACATATAATACTCTTCCTAAAACTTATTTAAATTATTATTTTTAAAGAAGGAAAAATTATAACAAAACTTTGTGTAGGCTTTAGCATTTTTCAGTGTTCTTTTCGTTTTTACACACTTTTTAAAACATTGTTACTCTTTTACTATGTAGATCGAGATGCCTGGTAAAGCAAATGCTTCTAAGAAGTCTCAACAGTTGAAAAGAAGTTCAAAAAGAAAAATCGATAATGAGGAACTGGAATTGTCTGAGAAACAGGTAATGAAAATATCAGGTCTCACCATTTAGTACTCTTTTGATTAGGAACATCATCTCTTGTATTTGAGAAAAATGTTTGAAGTCTGAGGATCAGACTTCGTACAAATTATAAAATTCATCTCATAGTCTGGAAACTTTTCTAACATTTAGGAAGTTGTCAAATAAAAATTGTTACTTACTTCCAAATCTAAAAATAAACATTGACCGTAGAATTCTTGGAGGAAGAAGGATCCCTGGGGGTATTGCTAAGATGTTTAAATGCAAAGGTTAGGAATAAAGTCTATGCATTCTTATCACATTTCTATGTTAAAAGACAAGAGTCTGTCTTTTAGTGTAGATTTTTATTAGCATAGAGAGAAAATAGTTTGGGGGGAAATTTATAATTCTAACTAAATTTGCCCCCCCCCCCCTTTTTTTTTTACCAGGGATTGAATACAGTGGTGCTTAGCTACTTAGCCACAGCCTTTTTTTTTTTTTGAGACAGTGTCTCACTAACTAGCCATCCTCCTATCTCAGCCTGCCTGGAATTACAGGCATATATCTAGCAGCCCTTCCCTATTAAAGAATACATGAATTGATCAAATTTTTTTTTTCTGTGGAAACAATACCAGCAACTTTTTTTCTACCCACAAGAGGGTATATGAATCCTCTTCAATATATATGACAAATCTATTGTTACGATGATATTTATCTGTTGTTTAATTCTGTGTGTGTTTCCTTTTAGGTTAGAAACACAGGAAAAAGAAATAAAAATCATCCAAAGAATTTGTCTTCTGAAGGTATTCCTTGCCTATATCTTATCTACTGTGTGACTTTTTCAAGCCGTGAACAAATTTTCAGCGTCTTGTTTATAGATTCTGCAAAAGCTAAAGATAATAATAAATCCTGAAATTCAGATTTTTGTAAGATATGTTTATTATTTTGGTCAACTGAAATTTTACTGTATATCTCCAACAAAATACCATCTAGGCTTCTATGCAACTAAGTTGATAGGACTAGAGAAAAATCATATCACAATCTGAATTATTACTGATCTATGAATAGAGACAAACCTACTTATTTCTCTTCAAGACAAATATGCTTTATGTTCTATCACTACTGTATAACTGTATAGATTAGTTTTGAACCACTAAGTTTGTTTGGAATAATTAGTTTGAAGTTGTTGTTTTCTTAAACATTGCGTCTTTTTTTCCTTGTGTGTGTGTTGGGGGGTGGTGGTAGGGATCGAACCCAGGGCCTCACATATGCCAGGCAAGTGCTGTAGCACTGAGGCACATCCTCAGCCCCATTGAACATCATTTCTTCATTGGTATGATTTGTGTCTTTCCTCCCCAAAGATGAGGTTCTGGTTTTATACTTCCATAGGGCACAGTCCTTTTTTCTTTTGTAATGCTCTGCACATCTGTAATTTTTTAACATTGTTTTTCTTCAAACGGATATTTACGGGAGCCAATACTATGTATTCTTGTTTATTCCTTATAAGTACAACGTAATCCATACTGAACATCTATTTGTGGTTCCATTAGTCTGTTTTGTTCCAGTTCCCATCCAGTATTTGGTAGAAATCATTTTCTTGTCTTAGTGAAGTTCTTAAGGAATTCAAGTCATTTCTGAGTACCAAGCTGTAATAATTATAGCTTAGTTCTTCAATTAAAATTATTTGAGCTGGGCACGGTGGTGCACGCCTGTTATCCCAGTGGCTCAGGAGGCTGAGACAAGGAGGACCGTGGGTTCAAAGCCAGTCTCTGCAATGGTGAGGCACTTAGCAACTCAGTGAGACCCTGTCTCTGAATAAAATACAAAATAGGCCTGGGAATGTGGTTCAGTGGTTAAGTGCTCCTGAGTTCAATCCCTAGTATATTTGAAGTTTGTATTCCAATATTAGTGTTTCAGTTAACATAATAGTAGGCAAAAAAAAAACCCTCATATTTAACACCTTGCACATTATAGCTATGTAATAAAAGTGAATTTTTTTGTTTTCATAATTCCCTTAACGTTTTTAAATTTTAGAAAAAGTAATTTTTAAGTAAAAACAAGCAAGCTTTCTGAATTGATCAAAGTCTTCTTCTATTATCAATAACAGAACAAATAAAACATACTAATCTAAAACAGATAAAGATAGCATCCAACAAGAGAAAAACCTGGCAACTTCTTTCAAACAGTACCAGAGAGCATTTGCAAACTATGATAGAATCAGTAATAATGTGAGTATACAATTTTTCCTTTTAACTCATTTGGTTCCTACTTATTTGTTTCCTATAGACATTTTTTAAAATATCACTATATGTTAAAGTGATGGATTCCTTTTCTGTTTCAGAAGAAGATAAATTTAATACCTTATGAGCGCATTAACCTTCTGCAAAAAGTCTTCTTTAATTTTTGAAACTTAGGATTCTGTCAGTAAAATAAAAGTCTAGTCTTTGTGGCCTTATCTGCTTTCTGTAAAAATTTTAATTTGTTCTGTCAATAAGGATGCTGGAAGAAATTGAGTTCAAAGTGATTCTTTCTATGGAAGCTACAATGCTACGGGGATACAAAGAAATCAAGACAGAATTCTGCTATTGTAGAGCTAAATTCTATCAGAAGAGTGAGACACAAAAATTCTTATAATACAATGATTTTTAAAATTGCATTATACTTTGGTTTAAAACATATTTAATATAAAAGGAAAAGTGATTGATTCTGCCTGTCTAGTGAAGAGGAGCACTAGAGAGGATTCAGAGAGAAAAAGTACACATATTCATTTGTGTTTTAAATAAATATTTATTTAAAATATTTTTTTCCTAGAGCAATTTTGAGTAACAAAATTAAAGAAAAGGAACAAATACAATGTCATCTCAACTACCTGAAGATAAGGTAATATAGTTATGCAACTAAAAAATGACTAATTTTTTAAAGTCTGATTTTGTTTCTGTTGCTAAAATTGACATTTATGAAATGTAAGTTGTTTTTTTTTTTTTTTAATAAAGTACACAGCTTGGAAATATGTGTTCTCACCTAAACTGCTGCTGCATGTGTTACTGAAATAATTTCAGTTTCAGAGAATTTATATAAAATACCAGAGAATCACAAAACTCTTATTGCCATGTTTCATTGTCCTGTGTCAAAATTTGAAAAATATTTCAACTTTAACTTCTTTAGACTTCATTTTTAACAATTTGAAGTTAACAATTCACTATTGTATTTTTAACCGTTTTCTGTGGTTTTTCCTCTACTTCATATTGTGTTACCCTATTTGCACAAGGAGCAGGTATAATTTTCCAAGTTATTTTTTCTCTTTATGTTGTGACAAGTCATTAACAGGTTTCTTTTCAAGTGTTCTTAAAAACCACACCACTGCCCATGATTTTCAGTGATTACTTTTTTCTAGTATTAGCACAACTATTCTTTTCATAAAATCATGTTTTATATCTCAGTTTCAGGTTAGCCCAGAAATGTCTGTGAACTAGTTTTTTATCTCCTATGAGTCCTTTGAGCACAAATTCTATTTCCTTTTCTTTAGTTTTCAATCCATAGTAGCAAAATAGAGTGGGATAGAATGGGGTAGGTGAGGGTAGGAGTTTGTTAAAAGAAATTGAACAGATTAAAGAAGGACTACTGGAAGCAAGCTTATAAGCTTCATAAAGATATAATGGCCACTATTAAAGAACAAGGAGGATACCAAAAAAAATTAATGAATAGAAGTATAATAAAACCAGCTATATAAACTCATAAGACAGTGACAACCGTGATGACGCATACCTATAATCCCTGCAGCTTGGGAGGCTGAAGTAGGAGGATCACGAGTTCTAGACCCAGCCTCAGCAGTGTAGTTAGACCTTAAACAACTTAGTGAGACCACGTCTCAAAATAAAAAAAAATTTTTAAAGGGCTGGGGATGTGACTTAGTGGTTGAGTTCCCCTGGGTTTAACCTCTAGTACCAAAAAAAAAAAATTTTTTTTTAACTATATAAGACAAACAGTGTTGCTTAGCATATGAATGACAATATCATAGTACATAATAATTGATGTCAGAGTATCAGAAAAGATGAAATTATATTCAACAGATAGGCAGTTCTCTTCATGTAGCTATGGAGATATATATTTCAAAGCCTGCCTATTTTCTTTACATTTTTACTTTCACAACTCACTTTCTTTAGTTACCAAAGTAATCATCCCATGATATTCTTACTTCTGACACAACAGAGTGCAGCATTAGAATCTAAACCAGGTCCTAATTAGAAATCTGAATAAATATTTTTATAGCAGCATTTCTCAAAGCGTATTTGAAACACTTGTTTTTAAAGATATTCTATGAATAAAAATAATCTGTGACAAATTATATTTGGGTATATTAACATAATAATCTCTACAGTAAATAAATGTATTTCATTTTGTTTAACTTAGCATCTGCCAAATTGATATTTACTACAGGAACCTATTTTCACATATTAGTCTTGTTTCTGCTTTTCTCTGCATGCTATCTCCATTCTTTTAGTTCTTTTTAGCTATCAGTTGTTCTCTCTAGATTAAAAACGTAAACATACAGCTCCCTATAGTATACATCTTTCAGCTTTATTAAAAAAAAAAAAAAAAAAACAGGAGAAAAAATACTTTTATCCCCTTACTTCAGTTAGAAAATTCTGGGATATAGTCTCAGACCCAGCTTAGGTAATGCGCTTCTTGGTGTTCAATTAACTTTGTGGTAAAAACTCTCATGTATGATTAATGTAAATTGACTAGTAGACTCTCTTAACCCAATAATTCACAATTAGTAATAGACTTATGTGCCATCATAGTTTAAAAAACATATATAGGGGCTGGGGCTGTGGTTCAGCGCAGAGTGCTCGTGTAGGACGTGCGAGGCACTGGGTTCGATCCTCAGCACCACATAAAAATAAATAAATAAAGATATTGTGTCCAACTTCAACTAAAAAAAAAAATTTTTAAAGAAACATATATAGGTAATAAAAGGAAAATTTGATTTTAAAATACATGTAAGTTGTTAAGTGTGTAAAATAAAAAGTGTTCTTTTGGTGAACAGCCATGATCTGAGATAATTCTTCATAAATTTTACCAGAACTTTTTTGGGGAAGGAGGGACAGGAGTTTCTACCATAGTTTAGCCATTGTTGGTAGAAGAATGTTATAGCCTTTATGAATATCAGGACAGAAAAAAAGAGAGAGAGAGAACTGTTTGAAAACAAAAATAAACAATAATATTTTATTCTATTCTTAAGATTACTACAGTTGTGTGAAACCATGAAAGTCCCTCCCAGAAAGCTGAAATATTTAACTAATGTTTCAAATCTACTGAAAATGGAAAAGGCACAAGAAACAGCTAATGAAGAAGGTCTGGCATTATTGCAGGTATGGAATTTGAATAGAGAATCCATAATTAGAAGGTTAGGGGGAAGAGAAAGAGACTTTAAAAAATATTTTTAAGAATTACCATAATATTTTTCCAGTAATAAATACTGGATTTGGGGTCTCTGAAGTTGAAATGTTTCTGATATAATTGTGGTGAAGTAATAGTCCTATTTTTGTTGTTGTTGTTTTCTATCAAACTGTTTTAATATAACTGTCCTAATATTTTTAATTATAAAGTTATAGGAATTCATCACTAGATGCCATAGAATCTCAAACATTAGTTTCATCCTGTATATGGCAAGAAGATATAATCATTATATTATTGTTATCATAGCTTAAGTGTATTGAGGGCTTTCTATATAGTTATATCTCTTAATCCTCACAGTAAGTTAGAGTCTAACCTTAATTATCTCATTTTACAAATGGGAAATAAAATACATACATTATTATTTCTAATGGAACCTTAAAACAAACTGCTTCAAGTTGAGATGCTAATCTCATCGGTCTGACTTTAGAGCTTGATGCTTAATCATTATGCTATATTGCTTCTTAATAGGAAATAACCTTAGCCATCTTGGTGAACTTTAAGAATTTTAATTTGTGGATATATATGAACAAATAAGAACCTTAAAGAAGTTTATCAATTAATTATAAAAACTAAAACAATTTGGACCAAGTATTCTTAAACATTTTTTTAGTTTTGTTTTTTTTTTTTTTTTTTTTTTTGTAGTTGTAGATGGACCGAATGCCTTTATTGTATTTGTTTGTTTTTATGTGGTGCTGAGGATGGAACTCAGTCCCTCATGCATGGTAGGCAAGCGCTCTGCCACTAAGCTACAGTCCCAGTCCTCCTCAAACATTTGAAGTAGTTTGTAGATGTGGTGATTAGGTCTTTGTTAGCAATTCTGATTGCAAGGGAGTAGAGGTAGTAGTGCTTTATGCAAACAATATATCCCCAAGAATTTCTAGCATTTTTCACAATTCTCAAGTAATTCATTCCAGCCTTCCATAGTTTTAAGAATTTAGTGGAAGAGATAGGAGCCACAGATCTAAATATATTATAAATAAGTAGGGGTTTTTTTTGTTTTTGTTTTGGTGGTTGCCTCATTTATTCCTAGTGTAATACTACCTTTAGTTTCTACCCCCAGTGTTACTACTTTATCAGGGTGTCTTTTTAGTATTGGCACCACCTCCACCACTTAATAAACACTGAGATGATATCAGTTAGGTTATCTTTTTAAGATTCTAGTGAGGGCTGGCATTGTGGCTCAGTGGTACAGCGCTTGCCTAGCACGGGCGGGACCCGGGTTTGATCCTCAGCACCACATAAAAATAAAAACATGTTGTGTCCACCGAAAAACTAAAAATAAAAATATTAAAAAAAAAGATTCTAGTGAATAATAGTGGTGAATGTTACTTTAATATTTAATATATCCACAAATCAATTAAAAATATTCAGAAGTAGTAAGCAACAGTGTGATTTTTATAATACGAGGAGACATTTCTGCTTTACAGTTAAAATAATACATCCATGTGACAGAAACAAATACCATCTAAGACTTGTGGTAGTCAGTTACTCAATGAAAGCACTACTGGTGTTTTGGGCAGAGTTTATTTACATAAGATGGTCTTCAAATTAGTAGTTTTTAAACTGCTTATATACATTAGTTTTCTCTTGTGTTTCTTACTTGGAAACATTGCTTTTTCCCTCTACAGCCTAGAGTTATTGTTAGTAATTTTCTGAAACCTGTTAATAGTAACACAAGTTTTACTCCTATATAACATGATTGATTATTGTGCTCTTAATGATGATGCTAAGGAAAAGGAAACTCTGAACAAAGTCTCATATTCTGGGAAGATAACATTAAAACTGCTGAGGCATTGTTTTTTTAATCTCCAGATCTTTCATAACAATGGAGCGATAGGGTTTCAAAATCAGCATAAACAAATGTTGAAAATGAGGAACAACATTCCTTAAAAAAAGAAAAAAACAACAAATAAATGATCTCATACTTCATCTCAAAATCCTAGAAAAAGAAGAGCAAAACAACAGCAAAAGAAGTAGAAGGCAAGAAATAATTAAAATCAGAGCTGAAATTAATGAAATCGAAACAAAAGAAACAATTGAAAAAATTGACAAAACTAAAAGTTGGTTCTTTGAAAAAATAAACAAAATCGACAGACCCTTAGCCATGCTAGTGAAGAGAAGAAGAGAGAGAACTCAAATTACTAACATACGGGATGAAAGAGGCAATATCACAACAGACACTTCAGAAATACAGAAGATAATCAAAAATTATTTTGAATCCTTATACTCCAATAAATTAGAAGATAGTGAAGGCATAGATAAATTTCTTAAGTCATATGATCTGCCCAGATTGAGTCAGGAGGATATAGACAACCTAAACAGACCAATATCAATTGAGGAAATAGAAGAAACCATCAAAAGACTACCAACTAAGAAAAGCCCAGGACCGGATGGGTATACAGCAGAGTTTTACAAAACCTTTAAAGAGGAACTAATACCAATACTTTTCAAGCTACTTCGGGAAATAGAAAAAGAGGGAGAACTTCCAAATTCATTCTACGAGGCCAACATCACCCTGATACCTAAACCAGACAAAGACACTTCAAAGAAAGAAAACTACAGACCAATATCTCTAGTGAACCTAGATGCAAAAATCCTCAATAAAATTCTGGCCACTCGGATACAAAAACATATCAAAAAAATTGTGCACCATGATCAAGTAGGATTCATCCCTGGGATGCAAGGCTGGTTCAATATACGGAAATCAATAAATGTTATTCACCACATCAATAGACTTAAAAATAAGAACCATATGATCATCTCGATAGATGCGGAAAAAGCATTCGACAAAGTACAGCATCCCTTTATGTTCAAAACTCTAGAAAAACTAGGGATAACAGGAACATACCTCAATATTGTAAAAGCAATCTATGCTAAGCCTCAGGCTAGCATCATTCTGAATGGAGAAAAATTGAAGGCATTCCCTCTAAAATCTGGAACAAGACAGGGGTGCCCTCTCTCACCACTTCTGTTCAACATAGTTCTCGAAACACTGGCCAGAGCAATTAGACAGACGAAAGAAATTAAAGGCATCAAAATAGGAAAAGAAGAACTTAAATTATCACTATTTGCAGATGACATGATTCTATACCTAGCAGACCCAAAAGGGTCTACAAAGAAACTATTAGAGCTAATAAATGAATTCAGCAAAGTGGCAGGATATAAAATCAACACGCATAAATCAAAGGCATTCCTGTATATCAGCGACAAATCCTCTGAAATGGAAATGAGGACAACCACTCCATTCACAATATCTTCAAAAAAAATAAAATACTTGGGAATCAACCTAACAAAAGAGGTGAAAGACTTATACAATGAAAACTACAGAACCCTAAAGAGAGAAATAGAAGAAGATCTTAGAAGATGGAAAAATATACCCTGTTCATGGATAGGCAGAACTAACATCATCAAAATGGCGATATTACCAAAAGTTCTCTATAGGTTTAATGCAATGCCAATCAAAATCCCAATGGCATTTCTTGTAGAAATAGAGAAAGCAATCATGAAATTCATATGGAAAAATAAAAGACCCAGAATAGCAAAAACAATGCTAAGCAGGAAGTGTGAATCAGGCGGTATAGCGATACCAGACTTCAAACTATACTACAGAGCAATAGTAACAAAAACAGCATGGTACTGGTACCAAAACAGGCGGGTGGACCAATGGTACAGAATAGAGGACACAGAAACCAATCCACAAAACTACAACTATCTTATATTTGATAAAGGGTCTAAAAGCATGCAATGGAGGAAGGATAGCATCTTCAACAAATGGTGCTGGGAAAACTGGAAATCCGTATGCAACAAAATGAAACTGAATCCCTTTCTCTCGCCATGCACAAAAGTTAATTCAAAATGGATCAAGGAGCTTGATATCAAATCAGAGACACGCCGTCTGATAGAAGAAAAAGTTGGCTACGATCTACATACTGTGGGGTCGGGCTCCAAATTCCTCAATAGGACACCCATAGCACAAAAGTTAATAACTAGAATCAACAAATGGGACTTACTCAAACTAAAAAGTTTTTTCTCAGCAAAAGATACAATAAGAGAGGTAAATAGAGAGCCTACATCCTGGGAACAAATCTTTACTCCTCACACTTCAGATAGAGCCCTAATATCCAGAGTATACAAAGAACTCAAAAAATTAGACAATAAGAGAACAAACAACCCAATCAACAAATGGGCCAAGGACCTGAACAGACACTTCTCAGAGGAGGACATACAATCAATCAACAAGTACATGAAAAAATGCTCACCATCTCTAGCTGTCAGAGAAATGCAAATCAAAACCACCCTAAGATACCATCTCACTCCAGTTAGATTGGCAGCCATTATGAAGTCAAACAACAACAAGTGCTGGCGAGGATGTGGGGAAAAGGGTACACTTGTACATTGCTGGTGGGACTGCAAATTGGTGCAGCCAATTTGGAAAGCAGTATGGAGATTTCTTGGAAAGCTGGGAATGGAGCCACCATTTGACCCAGCTATTCCCCTTCTCGGTCTATTCCCTAAAGACCTAAAAAGAGCATGCTACAGGGACACTGCGACATCGATGTTCATAGCAGCACAATTCACAATAGCTAGACTGTGGAACCAACCTAGATGCCCTTCAATGGATGAATGGATAAAAAAAATGTGGCATTTATACACAATGGAGTATTACTCTGCATTAAAAAATGACAAAATCATAGAATTTGCAGGGAAATGGATGGCATTAGAGCAGATTATGCTAAGTGAAGCTAGCCAATCCCTAAAAAACAAATGCCAAATGTCTTCTTTGATATAAGGAGAGTAACTAAGAACAGAGTAGGGTCAAAGAGCATGAGAAGAAGATTAACATTAAACAGGGATGAGAGGTGGGAGGGAAAGGGAGAGAGAAGGGAAAATGCATGGAAATGGAAGGAGACCCTCAGAGTTATTCAAAAGTACATACAAGAGGAAGTGAGGGGAAGGGGAAAAATAATACAAGGGGGACAAACGAATGTCAGTAGAGGGGGCAGAGAGAGAAGAGGGGAGGGGAGGGGAGGGGAGGGGGGATAGTAGAGGATAGGAAAGGCAGCAGAATACAACAGACACTAGTATGGCAATATGTAAATCAATGGATGTGTAACTGATGTGATTCTGCAATCTGTATATGGGGCAAAAATGGGAGCTCATAACCCACTTGAATCAAATTGTGAAATATGATATATCAAGAACTATGTAATGTTTTGAACAGCCAACAATAAAAAATTAAAAAAAAAAAAAAGAAAAGAAAATGAGGAACAAAAATAACATTCCTATAGACAATTTTTAAAAAGCATGCCAAAAGGACAAGGGCACAAAACAGAAGAACACTAACCTAATATCTCAACTGAGTTGAAAGAAATTGAAAAAATGATAGAAGGTGTGGGAAAAAAATATCGTAAATCAGTGTTAAAACTACTAATAAATGAAGTTACAGAATTCAGGAAAGAATTAGATATTTAGGTAAATAGTTTGCATTTGCAAGTTAAATTAGCAGAAACACTAAAGCAAATAGACTGAACAGATCATGTGTATGATTAAAAAGAAGATAAACTGAGAAAACAATTTAAATCATAAAAAAAATGTTTTTTAAAGGAATTGAAAAAGAATGACAAAATTTTGATGAAGAAACAGCATGAGAATGATAATAATACTCAAAGAAGATAGGCAAAACAATGCTACAAAAAAAATTTTAAAATTTTTAATGAAAACTTTTAATCCTTATTATAGGTAACTTTTTTCTTTGTGAGACCCTGTCTTAAAAAAGGGGATGGGCATGGGCTAGGAATGTTGCTTAGTGGTTAAGCACCTCTGAGTTCAATCCCTGGTGCAAAAAAAAAAAACAAGAATTAAAGTCTTCCTCTGTGGAGTTTGCATTCTAGTGAGTTAAATTCAGTCTCAACATTTTAGACACTCAAGGATTGGCACACTTGTCCTGTAACAGGCCAGGCAATAAACAAGTTAGATTTTGTGGAACACATATTTTCCCTGTTGCATATTCTTTTGGTTTGGTTTTTAACTCTCATTTAAAAATGTAAAAGCCATTTATAATTCTTGAAGTTTATTAAAGCTGTAATTGGCAGTTACCAATACCTGCAGGTGCACTTTTAAGAAAATAGCCATTTAGAATTTATATTTTACATAAATATTATATTTCTTGAAGAATACTGCTATAATTGCCAGCAATAATTCTGCTTCCAGTATTTGCAGAATAATATCGATGTAGCATTGGCTATATTACTGAACAGTATTAAGAGTTATTACCTCTGAATATTTTCTTTAAGATCTATTTAATTGTTCTCTAACTCCCAGAAGCATTGCTGTCATTAACTCTTGCTAGGAATTTCAGTACAGTACTTAATACTCTTTAGAATTCTGGAAGCTAACTAATTCTATACTTGGCCTACAACCAGCACATTCCTTTGTTTTTTCCCATACTCATTTTATTCATGTCTGTGGGAAACTGTCACTATTTTTTATTACTATCTCAGCTCTAATGACTAGTATTGCCTTCTTTGACAAACTAAAATAGCAGACATGCAAATGTTCCTAACTAAATGAAAAAACTTTAAAATTAGTTTCTCTGTTACTTGAAGTTATATCATACGCAAGGAAGGCTGCTGTATGTGCTCATTATCAGTCCTTGGACTCACATTTGGGTCTTCAAGGATCTCTGATACTAGCAGCTTTGGTAAGTTTTTAAAGAAGCATTCATGGACATAGAGTATATCTCCTTATTCCAGTGAAATTCATTTTCCTTATAAGGCATTATTACATTGGCAAAACAGCTTTCTAGGAAGTCAGTTTTTTGAAAGAAACAGAAAAATTCAGTATTTTCTTCCCAAACTGTCTTAATATATGAGGTATTTAAGACTATCTGTATATGTATATGCATATATAAACATAGATAATGGAGTTAATTTGATAACATTTAATTTAAATATTAATTGTTTTTTCTTTCTGATTCAGGAAGAAATAGATAAAATGGTAGAGACCACAGAATCAATGACTGAAAATATTCATAGACTAAAGAACAAAATTCAAATTGTGGCACATGAAGTAGAAGAAGAGGAGGAGAAGGTAAAACAGGTAATTGCTTAAAAATATGTTGCTGAAAAAGAATGAAATTATGATATTTGCTGGTAAATGGATGGAAATGGAGAAGAATGTCATGCTAAGTGAAATAAGCCAAACTCAGAAACTAAAAGATCAAATATTTCCTCTAATATGTGAAAGCTAGAGTAAAATAAAGGAAAGGGGGGAGGAGAGGATAGGATAACATAAAGAACCAATTGAGTATAAATTAATAGATGAGTAAAAGGAAGTCTAGTAGAGTAAAGGAAGAAAAATGGGAGAGAAGAGGGTGGAGTAGAGGAAAAGGGGGAGAGAAAAGGGGGCTCATGAACTGAGATTAGTTCCCATGTGTGTATGTCAGGATGAACCCACCTACTTCATGTAACTGTAAAGTTCTAATAAAAAAAGAAAAAATTATATTGCTGGAATTTAGATATAATTTTTAATGCTTAAATTTTAATAAGATAACTTTGGAGAATAATAAGATGGTCAATATCTATATTTTCAAATAATGTCTAGTTTTCTGTTTCTATGTTAGATGCTTCAAATGGATTGTAGTGGGGTACTCTCTCTTCCAGAACTTTCTCAGAACAGTCTTAAAGCACCCACACTTCACGTAAGTACCCATTTACCCTACTGACTGTAACACCAATTATGCATTCCATATATGTAAAATTATATCCTATTCCTTCCTTTAAACAAATCTAATCCTGAGAAAAACGGGCAAATCACTTATCTCATTTGACTGTATAGTTTGAACATATCTCCTTGTTGGTTCATATACTTCTGTCATTCTTTTGGGGGGTGGGAGGTACTGGGGATTGAACTCAAGGGTACTTGACCACTGAGCTACATCCCCATCCCTATTTTGTATTTTATTTAGAGACAAGGTCTCACTGAGGTGCTTAGCACCTCGCCTTTGCTAAGTTGGCTTTGAACTCGAAATCCTCCTGCCTCAGCCTCCAAGCTGCTGGGATTACAGGCATGATCCACCATGCCTTGCTAGATCTCTCATTCTTGTCCATAGCTTGTTGGTAACATTTCATTGCATGGCTATACCAAGATATAATTGTGATGAAAATAAATAACTTTTGTGTTACAGATGATGCTATACACACGCGAGCGTACACACACACACACACACACACACACTATTATAACTGTAGAATACATTTTGAGAAATAAATTTTAACAGTTGTTTTTATTTTATTTTGTTGTTTTCCTATCCATAATCCACCAATGGTGAGAGGAGCAGGAATAGGGAAAGGGAAAGATAGATTTGAAAGATGAATAGTCATGAGTTGACAAGTGGTGATTTGGGTGGTGGGTACTTGACAGTATTATACTGTTCTCTCTAAATAACAGGCATTTTTCATAAGAAAATATTAAGAACTGATTACACCATTTTACCTACAGAAAGAAATTTTGATGCTAATTCCAAACCAAAATGCTCTTCTAAAGGACTTGGATGTTCTTCACAATTCATCCCATATGAAGAACTTGTCAATGTTCATCGAAGAAGCCTATAAGAAACTAGATGCCTCTTAAAGAGTTTTTTTTTTAGATTGTTTCATATTAATTTAATGTTTATGACTTTGTAAAACTGTTAACTTATGATTGTATTACAGAGGCCAAAGCCTAAAATCACTTAAAATTAGCATCTAATGTAGTACTGAAAACTCTGTTTAGAGCAGCTGCTAAATCTAGAAGATCACTATTTATATTGTTGTATCTTGCAGTTATTTGCCTAAACACATAAAATAAGAATAGTCATGACCTAATGATTTATAATGACTGTATGAAGCTCATTTATTGGTTAGCATATAATTGTCATATCGTGACTTCTTATATGTAAAGTGTTTATGTATAGTGCCTAATGAATAATTATGTAAGTATTTGCTGTCACTCATTCTTTAGCTGATAGCTTGTATTTTTTTTTTTTTTTTTTTTTTTTGTCTAGTCACCTGGAACTTGAGAAATTCCCAAATGCCTTCACTTTTATCTAACTCACAAACTTTTTGTGGAGTGATTAAGATTTGCCAGGTATCTTTAACTTTAAAAGTAACATCAAATTTTATTTCTTTGGTTGGTTAAGGAGTAGATGTTGAATATTTATTTTCTGCCTTCATCAAAGCATACTTTTATTTTTAAAAATTGTTATTAAACAGGAACCTAAGCACATTTAGACCTTAAAACAAAAATCAACCAAAAAACTGTTTTGGGAAAGCTGAGTGTATAAGAACTGACTGCCAAAGGTAAACTATACTGAAACCTAAGAAGGCAGTAGACAAATTCAGGATTATATAAAATGCAGTTTATTAAAGACTGTGGAGAATCCCTTCACCCTACGGCAGGAGGAAGGTATCTCACAGTCAACCAAAATGCACCTTGGCTTTCTCAAATACTGTTAACATGTCAAAAGTCAGTTAAGAGACAGTTCAGGTGTTAGTGTCCCACACAAATGCTTAGCTGACTAACAATGAATTTGCTTATTGTACAGAGTTTGGAATACATGGTCACCATGGTGACCACCAGAGTCTCCTGGTGACCAGATGATGCTTACTACTAAGGTGGCTATTGTCATTCAAACTGGACCCCCACAAATCCCTTTCTTATAAACTTGTCCTTATTATGTAGTAAGCTTATTTGTGTCAATAAGTGATTACTATAAATATATGAAAAAACTTTCCTAAGCCATACTGTATATTGTCTCAGTTCTTTTATCTGTTTGTAAAATAAATTAACTACCATTTGTTTTTCTGTCTGAGAATCTTTTTCTTAGTTTATTTAGAAGATGCCATAATTCTGTTAATATCTTCCAGGCAGAGACCACCAGGAACACATCTGTAGTTAAGCAGGTTGAGATTAATGTTAATTGTAATGAGCACAACCACACATCTTTGGGATCCTGAAACACCTTGTTAAAGGATCAAACACAATTTCCTCTTAGGAAGTAATGGTAAGGAGGATCAGTAATGGATTTTAAAGGGGAAGAAAGTCTTCAGGAAAGGAAGCTGGCAAAGCAACTAAAAGTAAAATTCTGCCGAAGGAAGAAAATTTGGTTTAAATTTTTTGAGAGAGACGATGGATGTGTTACAGACTTTAGTGTAATGTAATCATTTAAAATTCTTTATATGAGCCCTTGGATTTGCCCAACTCTTAGTTGTGCATATCTAGCAAATAGGCTTTGTTTAATACGAGGCACCTGTGCTGGAACCTAAAATTAAAGGATTTACTTTTATTTGGTTGGATAGAATTTCTTGGCATTCTCTGTTTACCAAAAAACGCAGTTGCACCTGTCAAAATTAATTAGTATTTGAATGGTTTGCATTGGCTTAGTTTCTAAGCATAAGACTAAATCCACTCGTGTTTCATTTATCAAGAAATATTCAGAGAAAGGAAAAAATGAAAGCAAGAACAAACACATTTCTCAATTGGGCTTTAGCATGTCTAAAGGGACTGAGCCTGTTTTGTGTTCTAACTAGCTTTTCTTATTAAAAGTTGCTTCTATTGAATGTATTTCTTTACTTCTAAACCATGGCAGAACCGCTTTCTCTTGGTTGGTCTAAGTATTTGTTTCCCTTGTTAACTTCTGTTACAGGGCTATGAATGTGTTGTAACAACCATAAACAAAGATGGTTATATGTTTTAAAATTGTACAGAGAGAAAGATAATGTTTTTTAAATTCATAAAACCACTATAGAGTGGTTCATTTCATTTAAAAACAAATGTGCTTTGGCCTATTTCATCCCATTTTTGCTCCCAAAGAGATTTTTTAAATTAATAATGCAAATTTCAAGTGGGACAAGAGGGCTATATAATAAAAACAATGATAAAAATGGCTGGTGTTTATTGAGTGCCTGCTGAATGCCAGGAATTGTTCTAAGTCCATTACATGTATACATGTATTTATACCAATGTTAATTACAATCTTTAATCCCCTATGGGATTAAACCTCAGTAGTCACTATTTTCTCCAGCAGATGAAGAAACTGAGGCACAGAAAGGTTAATTAACTGTTTTTAAGATCACACAATTAGTAAGAGATTGAACTAGGAAGTGAAAAAAAATAATTGACACTTAAGAATTTTCTACTAAGCTACACATAGAAGGGGCTACTGAATCTAATGAGTAAATTCTACTAAAGAAAAAAAATCATGTATTTTGGGAGTATAATGATAATTTGTTATTACTGGGTTTATTGTTACTTGAGTTTACCTAAGAAAATACCTTTAAATTTATCTGACATTGGCAACCTTCATTTACCTCCTTTGTTTTTTTTCCTTTTAATCTCAGAATTAAAAATTCAATTTATCCCAGTTAGTCTATCTCAAATTTAATTTCCTTCAACCAAAGCAGTTTTCCTGGGAAAGTACATTTTGTCTTTTTTATTATTTTTCCTTCAAGCAAAGAGGAGCTATTCTTATTATTTTTGATGTTTAATAGAGAACAAAGAACTTTCAAAAAGATTGGAAGTTTGTTTTGGATGCATGTGGAATCAGGATGTAATCTAAACTTAGAGAAATTATTTTATGTTTCAGAGTCCATAAATAATCCTACCCTCCCTAAATTTATTAGTTTTCCCTAGGATATTGTACTTCATACCATAACATTTCTTTTCTGTAAATAACAGCTTCTATTCAAATTTTAAATCTGTTTTACTATTAACATTTAGGAAAAAAATAAGTTCTCTAGGAGTACAAACAGGAAAATGTGTTGCCCTCAGTAACATGTTTTTTTAAAAATTAAAAATTGTGAATACACCAAGGTTAAAAAACACTTATTTTGATCCATAATTGATATTTAAAACAATTTTTCCAGTCACTTTTAACTACCAACTGCCCAATGTATTACTAGTGTCTTCTAGTAGAGAATGTCTATTAATTTTATGAAACATAAAGATAGTGAAGAACATCCTCCCATGTGACCACATTCAAATTGAACCACTCTCCATATGCTGAAGAGACATTTGTATGACTTACCATTCCAAAACTTAGGTATTGCCATGTGTGCTGAGATATCCAAGCAAATACTTGTGCTGGGTTTAAGATTGCAGCCATTTTAGGAAAAGTAAACTTTCTCAAAGAATAAGGTGAAGGAATTAAAATTTACAAAATTACTCAATTCCACAAGTATCCTGTCCAGAGATTTTTTTTTCCCTTGCAGCTTTGAAAGTTTAGGGCAGCAAAATCATTTTGTCAGGTAAAAATACCTCAAAGATCAGTACCTCTATATCACTTTCTTATTCCTCATTTGCTTGTATCACATTCCATATTTATCCTCTTCCATGAGATCCTGATGAATAGATAGTTGTATGGTGTCTTAAAAATATTCATCTCCAAATCAAGATTACTGTTCCCTTGCTTTTAAACCGTTAAGATTAAATGGGATAGAAAGAGGTAGAACAAAAGTACTTACATTCTGTTTGAGATGATTGTCACCTTACGAAGATCATAAGCCCTCCCCTTCTACAGGTGTGGGGTTTTTTTCCCTCCCTCTTTCCACTAATTAGGGAAATAGCCTTAAGTATAAATTTACCATTTATACAGGAGGAGCTACTGCACTGATACACAGCTAAGAGATTTCAGTTTCAGACTGAACTCTCAATAGCAGGTAAGCTTTTTTCCCCCCGCTACTAAAATAGTAAAATCATTAGGTTATAATTTGTAGCGAAGAACGGGAGAAATAGAGATGAAGTCCACCTTATGCAGAAAGAATAAGTACATTTTGTTTTGTTGGTTTGTATTTTCTTTTTAAATTTCTTGATATGAGGACAATGAGTGTTATGAAATATGAAACTGCATTGTGATTTGGGCACAACTAGAGTAATAGAGAGTAATCTCTCAAAATCAAAAGCCTTTATAATATAAAAAAATAATTACGAACATTGAATTGTGAGTGATTAAAAAGAAAAGTTTTTCCTAAAAGACCCACCATTGTATTGTAAATGCTGTATCATACCATAAAAACAGATCTAATGTTTATGATTAATATTAATCAAAAGCATTTCAGGTACTTGCTCTAATGAACACTTCAAATGCTCCAAAGAATCTTCAGTTCCTAAAACTGATATGCATATGACCATTTTTCTTGACAAAGACTTTCAATTCATGAGTCTGTTTTTGGTAAGCATTAGGTTAAAGGAGTTACAAACATTGACCTTTCAATTCTAGAACACATACTGATTATGGGGAACCTGTGTTGAGCGGGAGGGTATGACATGGTGATCTTGTCGGTTTCAGAGTTCATAATTGTCATTATGACTTTTTAATATAATTCAAAAATGTGTAAAAATGTTTTCTCCATCTGTGAAGATTTCTGCATTCTGTTTGCGTCATTAAAAAAAAAGATCTTTGTATTTAGTGACATAATCCCATAAATGTGTCACTGTTTACTGAAGGCATATTTTCAAATGTTAACTGTAGTGTCTTTTATGTGAACCCATGGGAGAAATGTCTCTTGTTTTAATTTGTCACCCTGAGTAATTTGTTTGTGAGTTGCAAGAGCTTAGTCTAGGGGGGTAGATTAATGCCTGATCAAGGAGGGTTTTGATTATTAAAAATTTGGAGAACTGGACTTTAGAGATGGCATAAGTGAAAAAATAAGCAAATGCTAAGAAATAGAGCGTATGATATTTTTATGAGCATCTGAATCATATAATTGAGCATGATCATTTCTCTGTGTGATATATAATAAAACAGCTCAGAATCAAATGTGGGCTCTCACTTCCTGCAAGTACAGTTGATTCCTGATTGTATATGAAAGTCCTTTTGTTTCATGATAGTCATGTCGGACACAGACCTAGCCAATATTGAAACAACAACCTAATAATAAGTTATGTTCCTCTAAGCCTCTGGTTTCATTAAGTAGGTAATACAAAACCTTATTTTACATGTACTTTATACATCATTTCATATTTACTGTTGATTCATTATTGTTGATTCATTGTCATTGAACTCATGGTTGAGAACATTATAATTGATGTGTTAGTGAAACTTGTCTGTTACATGTGTTTTGTCTTTAAGGCCCATTATAGCCATTTTGAACTTAGAAATGTCAAATTAGCCCTTATACACTATTTTAAACAGCAAAATCAACAGAAAGCATTAATTTTTTTTTTAATGGTACTAGAGGGACCATGAAAAGAACACTTGTTTACAGTAATTGATGGCAGAAACAAGAAAGCAGAGTATGCCCTGAACAACCTTAGTGGGAAGTGTATTGGAAGAAAAAACTCTACTGCTCTATGCATGTCTTAAAATTACTGTAAAAGCACTACAAGTATTAATTTGTGGGTTAGAAATAAATTTTAGTGAGTAGGAACATTCTCAAATAATGGAATCTATGAATAAGGAAGATCAGTTGTATATGTAGGACTATATTCCATGTTTTGTGAACCAACCTCACTCTTGAATCTATATTCTTTTTGTAACTATATTTTCCCTTTGAGCTTTCAACTTAATTTTTCTTCATGTATTTTACTTATTCCATAAGTGGTCTTACATTCTTTGGGAAACAAGCCAGGTAATAAGTCAGTAAATCATCAACAAATACTTGTTATTCCTACTCTTTGCATTAACTACTTTGCTAAGTATTAGGGCATAAAAAGATCTCTAGGCATCAAAGTAAATTAAGAAATTTATGAGCAACTGACCTTTGAAATAATTTCATTTTCTATCAAAAGATTTTGAATTAGAATAAATGTGTTTAGTGCAAATATCCACCAAAAAAAAGTTTTATTTAGAGATGACACAAGTGAGTGAAAACTTGAGTTGATGCCAGGGTAAAGAGAGGAGGGGTACATTTCTCCTTTTATTTGCTCATCTTAAAAAATCTAGAAACTTGATCTTTTCAAAGACTCTAATACTGGCCCAGACTATAAATACGTGGGTTCAAAAGCCTCCTGATTTTCTGGTGCTTCGCTGGCCCTTTGTACATCTTTGATTCCTGTAGAAAACAAGACACCTTAAGTGCACCACTCAGTGAACTCTAGAGCAACAGGGCTATTTGAATGCTGCCTAGAAGTTCATACCCATATAAACCTCATGGAAGAGTTTTACAGGGGATTTTAGGTAGCTCATAGCCAAACATTCTGGGTGTCCTATAGTTGCAGAGGCATGCCACATAAGGAAATCAAAACAATTTATCCAGCAAATGTGTCATGAAGGAACAATTCTAGCTCTCCCCCAAATCCCAGAAGCATTAGGTTCTGGTGTCTACCTGAATCATCTTTGTCGTCCTAGTGCCTGACTGCCAGGAGTGTAAGTGGATAAACTCTTACATTGACTGTAGGGAGAAAAGTTGTTTTGTTTTGTTTTTAAATGAAGTCAAGCTCTCATAATGTTGGGGGAAAGGTTTCTTGGGAACAAATCAGGGGAGGTAGAGCTCCCAAATCTGGAAAGTGTAATTGCCTTAGAAAAGATGAAGTTATATGCATTACATTTAGGTCCTTTTCTTTCCAGAATTTTATCTGATTAAATGAGCCACAGCTTCTGCCCACATCTGATTCTTTCCAACTTGTTCTTTAAAACCACTCAAGTCTTTCTCTAGCCTTTGCCCCACATTGTTAAGAAGTTTCTCTACTTAACCCCAGAAATCTTACCCTGAGTTTCATATTATCCACGCAGTAACTATTTTTAGAAGGTCCCTACTCTGCAAGGCCTTGTGGCACGAGCTCCAGATACAGTGGAACACAATCAGGGACCCTGAATTCATGAAATTGACAGGCTACTTTAGGCAGACCTATGTCAAAGAAAACACAATTAAACATAAAATTATGATTGTAATTCAGTGCCCTGAAGGAAGAGTTCAGAGTACATTGAATGTATATAATAGAGAGATTTAGCCCAGTTTACAGTTAGCCTCATCGGTCTAGGATTAGGTCAGAAGCAATCTCCATTTTCATGTGTTCTCTAGTTTACTCATCCCAGCGCTTGCCCACCTTCTTCCTTCTTCCCTCTTCAGAGTCAGAAATATACCCAAGGAAAATGGCTACCAGCATATTCCTAAGTAGGTTCAAAAATTAAATTGTAACTTCAAGTTTCAAATTAGGTGTGGAATTGCAAAGTTCTGGAGAAGATGTTGGTGCTAAACTGTTCTACCAAATTACTGATGCTAGAGAAAATATTGAAGAATCACTTTCCTGAATCACTCAAGGTATTATAAACTTTATTGTACTAATTTATTATTGTATTAGTTGTTTTCTTTTAATTGCATGAATCTGTAAAATAATGTAAGCCTCATGGCTGTCCCCCAACTGTAGGTAGTCACAATGAATGACCACACCTTCCAGTCCTGATGCCTTAGATTCTGACCAACCACTACATTAGCTGTAGCTTGGGCGGGGTCTAGCTCACATAGTAAGGGGTCTTCTTTGTGGGTATGTGCCCCTAGGATTGAGTTACACTCACCTGTCCCTGTAGTCCTGTCATTTCTGCCCTTTTTTTGGACAGAACTTTATAAGAACAAGAGTCCCCCCAATAAAAGCTCACTTCCAACCGTGTCCCCTCTTTCATCAGCCTCTTGTGACTTTAATCTTGCTCTCCTTTTTGGGGAGCCTGAGGCCGAGAGCCAGGATGTATAAAGGTAAATTGTGTCTGTGTTTTATTTGGTGTCCCTGCAAATTCACACAAGTGATCTTAAGTTCAGCTGCCCATGCTGGTCAGGAGTGGCACCCCACCACACACACATCATTTTCCCCCCTGATGTTAAGATCTCTGGGCACGCTTTATAAACATAGTTTCCAAGCTGTCTTCTGCCAAATAGTGATATAATGGTTTGTGGATAAGGCCCAGAGGATTTTTGACAGTCACTCTAGAGGACTTCTAGGGATATTTAATAATTCTGGGATACATTATTTCTAAAGTAAATTTGAGTTTTAAAATGTTTTAAATGGTGGCTCGGGAGGCTGAGACAGAGGATCGTGAGTTCAAAGCCAGCCTCAGCAATAGTAAGGTGCTAAGCAACTCAATGAGACCTTTCTCTAAATAAAAATACAAAATAGGGCTGGGGATATGGTTCAGTAGTTGAGTGTCCTGGAGTTCAATCCCTGTTACCCCCCCAAAATTAACTTAATAAAATGTTTTAAAAGGCACTGAAATAAAGAACATAAACTTAGTAAACAATAGAACTGAAATTTAGGCATTGATAATTTTTTCAGCAATTCCGTTGGCCATCAAACCTGTGGTTTAAAATCCAGGAGGGCCAACAGATAACTCAGTGCCACTTTGGAAGATGTCATTAATCAAAAGATTATGATAAGTGGCTAGGCACAGTGGCACACACCTGTAATCCCCGCAACTGGAAAGGTAAGGCAGGAGAATTGCAAATTTGTGGCCAGACTCAGTATCTTAAATTCTGTCTAATACAAGAACTGGGGATGGCACTCAGTGGTAAAGTATCCCTGGGTTCAATCCCCAGTACTTAAAAAAATTACAATAAGTGTAACTAGAACTGCTATAAGCATTTACAATGAAATTGCCTTTGAATGGCTGAGTTTCTTGAGCAAAAAGACAGTTGTACAACCTGTTTTCAAATGGGAATGAAATGAAAATCACTCAGGAAACAAATAATAAATCTGAATTTTTGAAGATGGAGACCAGAGTCCTGAAATTTTAATACCCTGGATAATTCTTATGTTCATTAAAATCTAAAACAAAGGGGTCTAACTGGAGTCCCCTGGTGCATGGTACTGTGTTAATTAAATCTGGTCATCTTGCCTTATTGATAGTTCTTAAAATGCATGTGGTAGGAAATATCCAATAATAATTTGAGATTACATGGCTGCCAAATCAGAAAAAGTACTATAAAAAGCATTCAGCATCACTCATCCTTTGAATATGCAGCTACTGGAAGAATGTTTTTTACCAATGCCTAATCTTTCAATTGGTTCCAAATCTTACACAAAGAAGTTTTGCTTTTTAAATTTTACTTTTAGAATCTGAATATTAAAAGATTTTCCTCTTTCAATCAGATCTATATTTTCCTATTTTTAATACTGACACTGAAGTTAATTAATGCAATAAGCTAGTAGGCTTTTTTGCTCTAATAATATATCTGGCTAGCTCTTCTTCCAGAGATAATTAAAAAGGCCTCAGTGACCTTCATGGAGTCCTAAAAGATGTTTGAGAATTAAAAAGTTGAAGTAAATGTAGTTTTATTTGTTCACCCTTCCTCAATTCTACAGAGATTATGGCTATGTGTATTATGACCTCAGCTTAGTGTTTGATTAAATTTCCTTCTAAGCTCTAACTGCTGATTGCCCAACAACTTTACTTCCTCCTAGGCAACCCCCACACTCAACACTCACCCTTTAAATCACCAGCTATTAGAAGAGCTTGTTTGTTTTTTACCAATGCCAGATCTTTCAGTTATTTCCAAATCATATACAAACAAGTTTTTTTTCTTTCAGAATTTGAATACTAAAAGAGTTTTTCCCTTTTAGCCTTTTGAACATTCCAATCATAATTAGGTTACATTCTTCAATAAAGATATATAATCTCCTTACATGACATCATTTTAGTAAACATCATTGTGTACATGTAAGACAGGTATTTGCAGAATTTAATGATTAACTGAATAAGAATTACCCTTCCAGGTTACTTTGGTTCTTTGATTTGCACTCCAAATGATCCAAGTTACACATTCATATAAACCACACTCAATACGGAAAGACACACTCTGTGAGCATATTCAAGGGAGATTCCAGATTAGGTAAAACAGAAGAAAGTTGTATAATGTTCTAGACTGAGAAAAGGTGAGTGAATTATGTGTGTGGTTTGGGTTCAGGTCATGATAATGGAAGTAAAATGTAGGTTCCAAACCCCTTACAATTTAAATATTTTTCACTAATTTAAATATGTTTCACTGAAGTCCAATACATTCTACAAATTGCACACAATGTAATTACGCAACTCAGTGAATATTGGTGAAGCAAATACCTATGTAACATCCACTCTGGTAGAGAAAGAACATTTACTTCAGAGGCTGCTTCTCAACTCCCACTGCTCCATTTGACCACCACCTCTCCCTGCTCCCTAAAATTGGACAACTTCCAAAGCCATGATTTAGTTTTCACTGTTTGGGGATGTAAATAAATTAAATCACACAAAAAGTGGTTTTTGTTAATTTTTTTAAATACTCAGCTTTTTTGCACAACTTTTTTGTGTGAGATTCATAGTGATTCCATGTAGCTATGGTCTATTCACTTTTATTACTGTTTTGTAATCTATAGCATAAATATGTCAAAATGTATTTCTTCATTTCCTCATTGATGGATATTTAGTTTCTCATTTTTATTTTTTAATGAAAGTGCTAGGAACCTCTTCCCATAACTCAGCAGTCCTTGTTACCTACCACTATCTTTTCCCCTCCTTTATAAACACACATGTTTCTTGGGACAGATATTTTTCTTAGCGGAGAAAAAAAAATGTGAAAGGCACATTCTAATATTGCTCCAGTACTGTTCAGTCACCAAACATTCCATCAGTAACTTCAGGTTCCATCAATAAAATACTGAATGAGACCCAGATATGTCTCTCAAGGAATGTTTACAAAGCCTTGCTCCATCAAATCTGAAATAAATGCACATTTTTATTTTTAATTTGGGTTTGTTTTGCCTGTTATTCAGGCTTGAATGAGTAGTTGCATTTTACAAGTTATTTTTGGATAGAATAGTATGTTCAAAATCAGCTAAATATTAAGAATATCTGTGGGACTTTTAAAATATGTATAGGCCATAAGATTCTGGTTTATTCAGCAATCTGTGGCAAGTCTCACCTAGTAAGTCTATCAACTTAAGACCCTTTCACTGTTGCACTGTAAAAGCTAGGTTTAGGGAGAGTTTTCATAGGCTTTAGTAGACTTTTTACCAGTTTTCATGTGCCCTGATAACAGTAAAGAAGTTTATATGTGTATATAATGTATTTGTCTGTGAATATATTTTTAATTTCCCCTCTAATGGCCATGATTATATACTGGAACAAAAGAGTGTAATATGCAATTGAAACAGATGGTATTGAGATTGGTTTGTCCGTCTTGGTTCTCTGGCTCAGGTTTATGGAGCGGTGATGAACATAAATCGTGGGAATCCCTTTCAAAAGGAAGTGGTACTAGATTCATGGCCAGACTTCAAAGCTGTTATCACCCGAAGACAGAGAGAGGTAAAATTTTGAAAGGCAAATAAATGAAAACAAGAATTGGTATCAATTGGAAAAAATAGATTAGGTAAAGGGACTAGCATGACCTTAGTAGTCATATATATTATCTTGATATACTACATAGTTCACCGTTAGTTTTTTTTTTTTTTTTGGGGGGGGGGGGGGAGGGGGTACTGGGGATTGAACTCAGGGGCACTTGTCTAATGAGCCACATCCCCAGCCCTATTTTGTATTTTATTTAGAGACAGGATCTCACTGAGTTACTTAGTGCCTCGCCATTGCTGAGGTTGGCTTGAAACTTGAGATCCTTCGGCCTCAGACTCACAAGGTGCTGGTATTATAGGTGTTCACTATAATACTGTGCCAGGTTCACCATTCCTTTTTTTTTTTTAATTTTTAGTTGTAGATGGACACAACAATACCTTATTTATTTGTTTATTTATTTATTTATTTATTTATTATGCAGTGCTGAGAATTGAACCCAGTGCCTCACACTTGCTAGCCAAGTGCTCTAACACTGAACCACAACCCCAGCCCATTTTTTTTTCCACCATAACTTTTTTTTTTTTCTATTGGTTGTTCAAAACAGCACCATAACTTTTTAATGTGACTGGTTTGAGAGTGTCAGGCTTATGGAAAAGACCTCTAGTCCAAAAGTGTTTCCTTAGTGCTTCTTCATCTCTAGAAGCATGAAGCACACATGGCCACATACATACTGGCTTCTTCTGTATGGATGATTCCTTATGACGGATGACTTTGGTCATGGGGATAAATACGGAAAAAGACTAAACACTTGGCCCCATTCTGCCTCTGAGACCCAGTGAAGCTAAAGTGATTAAATCCATGCTGTCCTCCAAATTAGGAAGATTCATGAACTTTGACTCTTAGAGATGTATTCACTGAGTTTTGCCCTTTATATATATAATATATAGCTATATATTATATATTTCATATATTAAATATATGTATATACTATATATTATGTATATAATTATGTATTATATATTATGCAATAATATATTATGTAATAATATACATTATGTAGTAATATATTATGTAATAATATACATGATATAATATTTTATATAAAAAATATATTAAATATATATTGCATATACAATATATAATTTTTTCTCAGAAAAACCTTGGACTTTCTTAGATGTAATTCACTTTTATAATTTGGGATGCCAGCCATAGCATCTATAACCTTAATAGCATTAATTTGAGACTCTTTACTTTTTCTGAGGTTGAACTCCCTGAGCAAGAAGTCAAGACTCAGATAATACACACACACACACACACACACACACACATCACACAAAATTGTGATACTGTTCCTATGTTGTGCAACCTAAACTCAAACTCAAGACCTTAGGTAATCCTCCTGCCTTAGCCTCCCGACAGCTTCCATCAGCTGGTATTATAGGTGTATATCACTATACCTGACCCCTATTTACTTTCAAAAATAAATAAAATCTGAGAAAAAATGTAAAATAAATGTCTTGAAACCTCTCTAATCCCCCCACAAAAGAATCAAGAAAAAGAAATCAAGAATCAAGAAAACTATTTCTCTTTACATTGCAGCACATTAGCCTCATTCTCATTTTAGTGTTTTTAGGTGATTAATTTTTGTAACAGAAAATTAGATAGGCATGCCTAGCTAATGATACCAAAGCTCTCTAGGATTTAGGTTATCCAGATGATATGTTCATGTTTTCATGATTATGTCTTTTGTCCTAGGCTGAGACAGATAACCTTGACCATTATACTAATGCCTATGCTGTGTTCTACAAGGATGTCAGGGCTTACCAACAGCTATTGGAAGAACATGATGTCATTAACTGGAACCAAGTTTTTCAAATACAAGGTGAGGTCATATGCAAGACATATGTTATGCAGTCATTTCCTTTCCCACTTTTATCATATATATCAGAGATATATAAATAGGTATTTTGTATGTATGTGTGTGTGTGTGTGTGTGTGTATGTATGACACAGATGTGGGTGGGTGTGTATATTTTATATATATATAATATATATATATTATATATATATATATTATATATATATCATATATATATGATACAGACATACGCACATAGGAACAAACCTATATCCATACATTTTATATCTTTACCATTTCTATACTAGATTATTTTAAGAACACCTTTGATTGGTGCTGCCTATTTTTTTTCTCATAGGAAACCCTTCAAATTATTTAGATGTAACTTGAGTTTTAAAATATTAAATGCTACCATAGCATTTGTAATTTTAATGGCATCAACTTGAAACCTTCTTATCTTCTCTAAGGCTAAACTCTCTAGTGTGGAACCAAGGCTCAGATACCACACTGTGTTGGATATAGCTTCCCACTTATGTATTTTTCAAGAAGTTTCAAGGCCACACTGAGAAGTGGCTCACAAGAGGGGAGGGAACAAGCCATTAGGAAATGAAGGATGAAGGATTTCCAGAGAATATAGTTAATCAGGATTCAGAATGGAAAGAATGGAGTACTGGGGAGTTGGAGAGGTGGAGAGAGGACTCATTATAAGCTATATAAGAACAAAGAAGGACCATACAATTTTCTCTACCACTGTGAAGCAGTGCCTGAGCACAGTGCTTTAAATCTAAAAAGTACAGAATAAAGGTTTATAAATACTACAGTATAGCTATAATAAATAAGTGGGATCTGAGAAAGTTCAGGATAAATCTCACCAACACTCAGTTTACACCTTAAATACCATAATGGAGAATTTGGCAACAGGCTGGAAGAGAAACTTTAAAGTTAACTTGTCAAACAAATCTAAACTTACAATTCTAGTTTAATAGTCAATTGTAGATTTTTAGAGCTACAAGACATTGTACCTTATTTCAAGGAGTTTAGATCTGTCCAAGTAATAAAAAACAAATAAAAATTTGTACAACAAAATTCCAAATTCTCATGGGATATTTCCAACAGAACTTTCTATGAAAGGTTATGGTGGGTGGCAATGTGATGAGAATTCAAAAATTCTCCCAAAAATAATCAAAAATGAGATAGAGAATAGCCATAATAAGTGTGTGTGTGTGTGTGTGTGTGTGTGTGTGTGTGTGTAGTAAGCTTAGGATAATACAAGGTAGCAAACTGGTGGTATTGATGATGTTCAGTATACAAACACTGGAGCAATTTGCTTTTTCAAATAAAATGCTCACCTTTTTTGTTTGTCTTTCCACAGGGCTACAGAGTGAGTTATATGATGCTTCTAAAGCTGTTGCCAATTCAAAGCAATTGGATATAAAGCTGACTTCCTTCAAGGCTGTTCATTTTTCTCCTGTTTCATCTCTGCCAGATACCAGTTTCCTGTATGTAAACCAAAGTTCTGCATTTGGGGTAGCATTTAACTGCTGTGAACGACCAGATAGTAAAAACTGAAGCTCTTGGTATCATTTAGGAATATTTAAACATTTGGTTTTGGACCATTATACTAAAAGTGTGTGTGTGTGTGTGTGTGTGTGTGTGTGTATACACACATATGAACAAACCTATATCCATACATTTTATATCTTTACCATTTCTGTATTAGATTATTGTATGAACACCTTTGATTGGTGTGTGTGTGTGTGTGTGTGTGTGTGCGTGTGTGTGTGTGTTTTACTCTTTCCCTCTCCCTCATGCTTCAGTGTTCATAATTTCTTTGAAAATATATAAGGGTCTCTGTCGATAGTTGTAAATGAACTCAAAAGACTTGCACCCCCTCCCCCTGCCTTTTTTCAGTACCAGGGATTGAACCCAGGGACACTTTAACACTGAGCCACATCCCCAGTCTTTTTTCATCTTTTATTTAGACACAGTCTCACTAAGTTGCTTAGGGCCTTCCTAAGTTGCAAGACTGGCTTTAAATTTGTAGTCCTCCTGCCTCAGCCTCCTAAACCACTGGGATTACAGGTATGTGCCACTGTGCCTGCAGAATACCTGCATTTTCATAGTGCACATAGAAAACTCAATCCTTGGTGTTCTCCTCCCCAACATAATTCTAAATAATCTCTCTTGTCTGAATCCAAAAACGTGATTGTTTTTGTTGTTTTAGGAAAGGGGTATATAATGAACTTTGTTGAGATTTTAAGTATATAGCATTAAAGTTTTAAAATATATCTCCCCTTAATCCTTTCCACAGGCCTATAAAGTAGTAGTAGTAGAAGGAGGAGTATTCCATTTTTAATAGATTTTAAGTAATATATAGAAGTAAATTTTAGAACCAGGAAATAATCCAAAGAAATCTAGCTCCATAAAGCAATATTTGAAACCATTTGTTAGTTTGTATCTGCATTTGTTCTTATTTTCTCCTACTTTGAGGTTCTTGCTTTGTCATTTACTAAATGCCGTTCCTTCATTTTAACCTTTCTGAGCCTTAATTTCTTTTCCTCAAGAATTAGGACATAATATCATCTTCACATTGTTTTTGTAAACGAATGAAACAAGGTGCTTGAAAAGTACCCATATTGATGACTGTTAATTTCCTTTTCTTCTATGATACATATGGAAGGAATTATTGAGTGTGACAAGACTAAACCTGGGGAAGAACAGACACTTTAAGTCACAGGAAAACAAATGGACTTTCTTTTTACTGTTTTTTAAACTATTAAAATTTAAAATATACAACAAAAATTGAGACAATAGTGTAAAGAACTGCCCGCCAATATATAGATAGTCTTATTTAATACACATCCCTACACATCTTTGCACCATCTGGATTATTTTAAGGGAATGAAATAAATATTACCTTTATATCCTTAAATAATTTATATCCTTAAATAATTTAATATGTATCTCTAAATCATAAGAATTCATTTAAAAAATGGTACTCTCCCCTACATTCCCTAATCTCTAGTAACCACTGTTGTTCTTTTTTAAGATCAATTTCTTTAGATTCTTTAGGTAAGTGAAATCATGCAGTACCTAGCATATTTGTCTTTCTGTATCTAGCATATTTTACTTAATATTATTTCTTCAAGTTCCATCTATGTTGTTGCAAATGATATGACTTAATCCATTTTTGTGGCTGACTAGTATTTTGTTGTGTATAGATGCCACATTTTCTTTATCCATTTATCAGGACACTTAGGTTGGTTCCGTTTCTTAGCGTAGATTTCTCTTTTACATACTTACTTTATTTCCTTTGGATATATACCCAGGAGTGGGATTACTGGATCAGATGACAGTTCTATTTTTCTTTTTGAGGAACTTCCACACTATTTTCCATAATGGCTGACTAATTTACATTCCCCCCAATGCTAAGGGTTGCCTTTTTCTACCTGCTCACCAGCACTTGTTATCTTTTGAGTTTTTCATATTGGTAAGCGTTTTTTCCACATACCTGTTTGCCATTTGCATGTCTTATTTTGAGAAATGTCTATTTAGGTTTATTTTCTATGTTTAAATTGAGTTATTTCGGTATTTTTCTCTTGAGTTTTTTGACTTATATTCTAGATACAAACTAACAGATGTATAGTTTCATCCGTTCTGAAGATTGTCTCTTTATTCTTTTCATTTATTCCCTTGCTATGCAGAAGATTTTTAATTTGGTATAATCCCATTTGTGTATTTGTTTCTTTCCTGTGCTTTTGAAGTCTTATTCAAAAATTCTTGCTCATTCAAATGTCATGAGCTTATCCCCTGTGTTTTTTTCTAGTAATGACTTTTTGTCTTTAATATATAAATCATTACCCAAACTTGTGGACTCCATTTTGAATGCTCTGCCCTGTAGACAGCAGGTCAGAATCTCTAACATAACTGTTCCTTGTCAGGGGCCTTGGCAATGTTTTTGTGAGCAGCAACATTTTTGTCTGAGAATTCTTTGTTCTTGCTTTGAAGTTCACTTTTAAAATTGATTTGAAATCCTATAAAATTGGTTTTCCCCACACTTAATGAATGGTCTAGTGCCATAGCTGACAGCATGTCTAAAATGTGAGTTAACACTATATAGCTTCTAAGAAAAATACCATGAAATTATACTTACAAAAATCATAGCAAGAACTATATCATCAGTCTCTTAATGTTCACTGAGAATGGTCTTGATGATGTTGATAAATTCAAAAATGAAGTCAAATTCCAAGACACAATCAGCCTCATAGGCTTTCAACTGTGTAATTTGTCTCAGTTCTTAAAAAATCTTACCACACACTTTATCTTGTTAGCAGAGGTTTTATGTAGTATTCTAGTAAACCCCTAGAAACTTATATATCATTGGAATCAATGTAGTGCACAGTAGCAGTTCATAAAAAAAGAGAAACGCTGGAAAAAAATGAGAATATTTAATCTGGAGAAAAGCAGCTTAAGATGAGACCTAGAAGAGCTAACATTTCCAGAGTATGTACATATGCCTGGCATATTAAGAAACTTGGTTTTATTTTTTGGCCAATTCAATTAAATCAGTATGGGAAAATTGGTTATTTATTGTCACAGAATCCTAAGCTCATGCGTTATTTCATCTTGATTTCTTTTAGAATGGGGTCTTCCCCGCGACTCACCTATCTGAGTGTTGCGGATGCTGATCTCCTCAACCGCACTTGGTCAAGGGGCGGCAATGAGCAGTGTCTCCGGTACATTGCCAAACTCATCTCCTGCTTCCCCAGTGTGTGTGTCCGTGATGACAAGGGAAACCCGGTATCCTGGTCTATCACAGACCAGTTTGCCACCATGTGCCATGGCTACACCCTGCCGGATCATCGCAGGAAAGGTTATAGCCGGCTGGTGGCCATCACGCTGGCCAGGAAGCTGCAAAGCCGGGGATTCCCCTCTCAGGGAAATGTTCTGGATGACAACATGGCATCTATAAGTCTTCTCAAGAGTGTCCATGCTGAGTTCTTGCCTTGTCGTTTTCATAGGCTTATTCTTACCCCCAAACCTTTCTCTGACCAAGCTCACCTTTAGCCCAGTGACACTCCAGAAATTTTCTTGCTTTCCCAAACACACTCTCTAAGCTGCCAGTAGAGGAGAACTAAACCTGGTGATAAGAGGCTGGAGAAGATGTGCAGGATCATCTGAGAAGTCTTGGCTAATCTTGCCTCAGGTTTCTACTGTATATAACTGTAGTTGACAGGAGTACAGCTGTGGCTAAGAAAAGAAGAAGTTTTTTCTTCTGTAGAATTCACTATAGGGAAGAAGTTTCTAAAGCCAGCAGGTCTTAGCATATAGGCAAAAATGATTGCATGAGAAAAAATAATGATTTAACACAGGAGCATGTGGATAGTTGTTTGGGCCTCTGCTCTGTATTTTCACAACCATACCAAGTTCCCTGCAATCATGAAACTTCCTTGACCCTCATTGCTATGTCTCACTAACCTCTATTCTACCACCTCTGCTCCGAGTTTTCTGTTAAGTGTCCTGCATTTTCCCCTTTAATTGTTGGCTTTCTGCTTATGCCTATGATATTAGTGAATAGTTCTCCTCTGGGAATGTTCAAAGGCAGTGGTTCTCACCTTTTAGTGTTTATCAGAATCACCTGGAGGGCAAGTTGCAACACAGATGGCCCGTCCCTCCTCCACAGTTCCTGATTTAGTAAATATAGTGTTGGGCCTGAGAATTTGCATTTCCAATAGGTTCCCACTTCCCAGTTGCCTTGGATGGATGAAAATGTAGGGATTTTAATGCTATAAACAGATGGCAATGTAGGAGTAGAACTTATCCATCCTCTATCTGGCCCCCTTACTTGTAATATGCTTTTTCATTAAAAGACTAAGATTCCTTATTGGTACATATGTGTGTATACAAATGCCATATAAGTATAGATATATACACACACACACACACACATACACAGGAATTTTGATAATACAATTTAACCCTCTTATTACATAGGGAGGATTTGAAGTCCAGGGAAAATAAATGATTTTGTCAAGATTGTACTCTATACAATCAGTGCTGAAGGCAAAGCCAGAACTCTGTAATTTTGATTTCAGTCATTCTTTTCATTAAATTGTATATCTTTTCTTAAAGGAAATATAAATGCTTAAATAATTAAATTAATAATTTATTCTCCTATGCCAACATTGTTTATTTTTTCTTCGGGTTTCAGTTGCTCATATATGTGTATTTTTCAAGGACAGTAAAGGAAGAGATAAACCTCATAAGCTGTGTCCTGCATTTATAATAAAAACAGGTGTAAACACAACAGTTGGATTTATCTAGACTGGCTGAAGTTGACTTGGCCATATAGGCCATATAAGCTTGTTTTCTTATTCTCATAGGAGTCACCAAATCCTGACCACAAAGGTAAGGGTAAGTCCAAATTTTGTGTGGTTATTCTGAGAAAGGAAAACAAACTGATTTACACTGAGTAAATTTTAATAAACAATAAGACTCCTTGAGAGTGCATATATGTTTAGTTCATCCTGAGTCAGTGGTTACCTAGAAACTTGTCCTTGGTGTCAGAGGGAGGAGCACCAAATAATAGGAGTCCATAAACCTCTTGGGAGAACATGGTCTAATTTTTGCCCCTGGGATGCTTATTATCTTAAGCATTGATTAAGCATGAGTTACTCCTGCCTAATATATGACAATACTATTATAGACATTTTTTAATGATAATTTTCCTACCACTTATTTAACACTTAACTCTGTTAACTTAACCAAATACTAGATATACATAGCTTAAGCTTAATCCATGTGACCGATGAGGCAGTCTCTTATTGTGAGAGTTTTGGCTTAATGATATTGTGATTCACCAAAAGTTATGCAGGCTTTAAATGGCTGAGTCATAACCATGACCTGAGTTTGTCAGACTCTAAACCATGCAACTACACTGTACTATTAGTCATTATGTTAATTGGCCCCTTAAACAGCTTGAAACTCTTTGAAGGTGATTATCCTTTATCTCATTATTTTCTGAATTTTCCACCTCCATCTTCATCCCCCAAATGGAACACATATTTGAAAAAACAAACAACAACAACAACAAAAAAAAAACCTTTTTTCTATCAAATTGCATGTATCATCTTCTTTTCTTTTTTTTCTCTTCCAGATAGCCACATTGGGTAGAATCTCTCAACTTTCAAGCCTATTTCAAACCCTTTTAAGGAATGTGTGAAGAAATATTTAGAGTAAGGAGAGAAGAACAATGGGGTGGAGGGAAAGGAGACTCAAGAAGTAGGAAGTGACCAGGTCAAAACCGGGCTTTATTTGCTGATTCAAGGAAATTATTCAATGTGATATATAAACCCATGAAGAGTTTTAACCAGAGTATAATTTGTTTGGAAATTAATTGGGAGGCTATCATCTAAGCAAATAGTAGCTTACATTTGAATGTTCTCAATGAAAATAGTGAAAGTTCACAGTTACCCAAGTTATTCAGGAGAACAAGTTTCCAGGACTTAGTAATTTTAGTGGCTGTAGGGCATAGTGAGATGTAAATGTCAAGTTGACTCCTGGACTTCTATGTTGTGAAACCTATAGCTTGTGATATTTTTCCACTGAGATCAGAAACACTGGAACAGTGCCAGGTCTGGGAAATTTGGGAACAGGAAAACGTTTGCTCAGTTTGGGAATTTAGAGTTCTGAAACATGCAACAGATGAGATCAAGATGAATATTTCATGGGCCGGAGTTGTAGCTCAGTGGTAGAGCACTTGCCTCACAAGTGTGAGGCACTGGATTCAATTCTAGCACCACATGAAAACAAATAAAGGCATTGAGACCATATACAACTAAAAAAATTTTTTTTAAAAAGATGAATATTTGAGTCTTAAGCTCAGAGAAGTTTTCTGGGACACAAATGTATATTTAGGAGACAATGGGTGTAGATGGTAACAATGGCTAGAAGTCTGACTGAGATTGTCCAAAACTGGACCTTGAATAAATCAAATATTTAAGGCAAGTGAAGGAAAAGACTCTGTAATAAAAGAATCAGTCGGAAGATAGGAGGAATGCCAGGAAATGACTGCCATGAAAGAGACAGAAGAAAAATATCAACACACAGAGATGGTCAATGTTGTGAAATTATTCTGAGAGTCTAACACATGAGGAATGAGAGATCTCCATTGCACTATCAAATATTTTAAATACATATACTAAAAAGAAGACAGAAAATATTACAAATTATGTGATTCTCTTTATATAAAATCTCAAACCAGGTAAAATTAACCTTTGGCTTTAGAAGTCAAGAATTAGTTATTCGTGAGAAGGATAGTAAGTAGAAGAAGATATGAATGTGGCTTCTGGATTTTTGTTAATATTTTTATTATTTTCCTGGATGGGTTGTACAGGTGTGTTCACCTTGAGAAAACTCTTCAATATATTAAATGATGACGCAATTGTCTGTATGCATGTTATAGTGCAATAAGATATATTCATGAATATAAAACAAGCCTGGGGGCTGAGTTTGTGGCTCAGTAGTAGAGTGCTTGCCTACCATGCATGAGGCACTAGATTCGATCCTCAGCACCACATAAAAATAAAGAAATAAAAATTATAATAGAAATAATAGAAGATTACATTCCTTTGATCTAACAATACCACCTTTAAAAATTTGTCTTCCTGTTATGATAGAAAGTGTACAAAGATTTATACAAAAGGTTATCCATTACATCATCATAAAGGCAAAATTAAAATGTGTGAATTAGTTCACTGATTAAATATATATAGTATAACTTCAATGAAATTCCATGGAATCCTAGAAAGCTATGATTGCTAACATGGAAAAGATGTAAAAGTTATGAGATTCAAAACAAGGCAAAGCAGTTGCAGAAAAATATGCATAATCTATTTGAGATTTAACTGTGACAGTAAAGAGGGAATGATAAGCAGATAATTCTGAAAGCAGTTTAATGGCTTTTACTGGGGAGAGATGACCCCTTGGTAAACAGCACCAAGTATTTTATGATGCAGCCGTGACCAGGAATGATAATAAAAGGAGTCAGTAAAGGTAACACACTCAGCTCTCCTGAGATATGTACTTGTCTTGTGTCTGTCCAGGATGGATGTCCACTAGCTTTTGTAAACTGCTAGGTATTTTAGCAATAGTGAGTATTCACTCTCATTATTGTGATATATAATACTAATGAGGCAAAATAAAAGGAACAACTGAGAATTTAATCTTCTCAAAATTTGGGAGCAAGATAGTGTGATTTGGGGTGGAAATTAACGCATCCACTATAATAGAGTCTCATCAAATAATATATCATTTGATTCTCTTTGTGTTTTTAATCAAGTTTGTGATTTCAATTGTGAGAAAGGACGTGAAATAGTTATATATTAAATTTCTATAAGTTGTCTCTAACACACCTAAAGTTTTGGTATTCTTTATCTCTAAAAAGGTGTGATGGAAGAGCACACTCAGAGTACAAGGATTATTTTTTCCTTCCTGCCTGTGATGGTTGCATTAAAATTCAATGTGGGGAAAATGAAAATAGCCTAGAGTTATAAAATACAGATGGGCTTTTTTCTTCATTATCGTACCTAGAATTGACACCCCAGTTCACTTTTCCCAAGTATCTAACTGCCCAAGATTCTCAAACTTAGTTCCAATTATAAAACCCAAGTGCTAAGAGACCGTTGCTTTCTCTGATCTTGGCCTTGCGCTACGACCAAAGAATATGGTAAGAAAGAGAGAACAGCCACTGCTCACCTCTCCTCTTTTCCTTACCCACTTTGGCAGTGCTGGTATTGTAAATGTCCCAGCCCTTTTTCAATTGTGTGCACTTCTTGGGTGACATGTTTTTTCCTTGAGGGAACTTTTTTTTCACCTCCCCTTATTCCTTCTCTTGTAATTAGAAGAAAAATTATGAAAAGAACAGCAAATGTCTAGCAATTCCTCTTAGGAGTTTATATGAAACTTTTTCTTTCACTCACAGACCTATTTCCAAATGGCTTTAGGTTTTAAACACAGTTAAAACGCATTGCTTGCCACAGGACTATCAGACCTTTAGTCAATATTAT